TTGTTAGAAAAATCGTATTGATAACAATATGTACACACATGCGCGCGCACGCACACACACATACACACGCGTATATATATATATATATATATATATATATATATATATATATATATATATATATATATATATATATATATATATATATATATATACAAATGCTGTTATGTTACTTTCGTGGTTCTTTATGTGTCTATCATGTGTGTCAATATGTCTAAATGTGTGTGCCATATGTCTGCCATATGTCTGCCATATGTCTGCCATATGTCTTCCATATGTCTGCCATATGTCTGCCATATGTCTGCCATATGTCTGCCATATGTCTGCCATATGTCTGCCATATGTCTGCCATATGTCTGCCATATGTCTGCCATATGTCTGCCGTGTGTCAGTACTCCTCCACTGGTCACCGAGCAGGTCAAAGGCAAGCGAATAATTCCCGAGTACGACCCTCCCGTCGGTTTGCTCAAGACGATGTACGACAATCTGGTCAGGTGTAAGATCCGAGCCCTGGGCCCCCTCGAGCCGTGCTGTGAGACCAACATCTTCACCTTTCTTGGGGAGAACACCCGGCACTTCATGCAGTGGCAGAAACTCGTCTTGGTAAGTCAAACCAATCCAAACCCGAACCACTTGGTAAGTCAAACCAATCCAAACCCGAACCACTTGGTAAGTCAAACCAATCCAAACCCGAACCACTTGGTAAGTCAAACCAATCAAAACCCGAACCACTTGGTAAGTCAAACCAATCCAAACCCGAACCACTTGGTAAGTCAAACCAATCAAAACCCGAACCACTTGGTAAGTCAAACCAATCAAAACCCGAACCACTTTTGCCATGTAACACTTTAGAGTTGTCTCATTTATGGGTTAGGTCAGTCTTATGTATGACTTAGGGAAGTCTTATGTATGGGTTAGGGAAGTCTTATGTATTGGTTAGAGCTGTCTGACTTATGCTCTCTTGAAGTGCCAAACGTTCTCTGTTCACAGCTCATCATCAAGGCTCTGCTGCTTGCGGCCATACCCCTCCCCTTCTACATCCGGCTTATCATCTACTACAAGTTTGAGGCCGAGGAGCTCACCCAACGACGTTTGGCACGTGAGGCTAACGGTCTGGACGAGGCTTTCAGTTTCTACCGAACCAATGTCATTCAGTATCTGACTCCGACTCACGCCATTTTTATCACCACATATATCCTTTACTTTCTCATCGGTGTCATCATCGGCTTCGCTAGTCCCAGCTTTAGGAACAAGCTAAAAGACATCTGCAAGTCATCTCTGCAAGACATGAACGCTGTCTCGCAGACAGAAGTTCTCGGCATGATGGTCCAAGCCTGCGTCTACCCGTTCAAACGTTGGGGTCTGCTGGGGTTCCTAGTGGCTCCCGTCTACCTTATCCTTGTCCTGCCTGCATGTTTGCTCTACTTTATCATTTACTGTGTGCCAACCATCTACTTGACCTACAAACTGCCGTATCACGCTAAACAATTAGCGAGTAGACAACCCCAAAATGTCAAAGGCGGCAAAAAGAAAATAGTCAGTAAACTGCAGCATTACGGCAAGAAGTGGCAGAAGATCGACCAGGCTGTCCATGCCGAGGACGAGGTCACGCCCGTGGATGAAAACCATTGTTGTCCTGACGATATGGGGTGTTACGGATGTCTCACCTTCAAAAGCGTCGGCTTACAAGTTGTGACAGCGATCTTTTGTCTGTGCATACTTTATTCTATAGCTTTGTTGTTCTCTGAATCAATTGGACTGTTTATAGAGGTACGTACTTTTAATATCAAAGAAGTGTACTGCGTGGCTTTGCTATGTTTTCGAAAAAAATAAATGTCGCCCTATACATATTCCTATACTAAAACTAATCAATTTTAAACTTAACACTAATTCTTATTAAATACGAACGGTTTATTTTGTTACTCGATATTTTTAACTGAATGAATTGGTCGAAAAATATACAAAAATCTCTTTCATTAATCGCTCATAGAAAGGATTTAAACAAAATATTAAATATTCATTTTAAGCATAATAAAATGTTGCACGTTATACACAATACTGCGATTAAGGAATAAATTATTGGGTTTTTGTTTTGTTCTATTGCTTGCTTATCAATTATTTCGACACTAAGACTTGTTGTCTTATGTAAATGGGAAGCTATGTAGTTTTATCGCCTTTAGTCCAATGAGAAACGTCAAAGCAGTGCTTCTTTCTAATAGCTTTCTTCATATTGGTTGTGGTTATTTTTCCATTGTAGTTGTGGCTAAATTTGCTATGGGTTGTTGAATTGTGTAATGATGTCAGTTGTTTTGTAGAATAGTTGTGTTTTGTGTGTATCAAAGGGAGATTGTTGTTGTGTTTTGTGTGTATCAAAGGGAGATTGTTGTTGTGTTTTGTGTGTATCAAAGGGAGATTGTTGTTGTGTTTTGTGTGTATCAAAGGGAGATTGTTGTTGTGTTTTGTGTGTATCAAAGGGAGATTGTTGTTGTGTTTTGTGTGTATCAAAGGGAGATTGTTGTTGTGTTTTGTGTGTATCAAAGGGAGATTGTTGTTGTGTTTTGTGTGTATCAAAGGGAGATTGTTGTTGTGTTTTGTGTGTATCAAAGGGAGATTGTTGTTGTGTTTTGTGTGTATCAAAGGGAGATTGTTGTTGTGTTTTGTGTGTATCAAAGGGAGATTGTTGTTGTGTTTTGTGTGTATCAAAGGGAGATTGTTGTTGTGTTTTGTGTGTATCAAAGGGAGAGTGTTGTTGTGTTTTGTGTGTATCAAAGGGAGATTGTTGTTGTGTTGGTTGCTTGGTGATAAAAAGGCGAGTCTTGTGGTTTTTGGGGTACCGTAGTTGGTGGTTTTTGGGGTACCGTAGTTGGTGGTTTTTGGGGTACCGTAGTTGGTGGTTTTTGGGGTACCGTAGTTGGTGGTTTTTGGGGTACCGTAGTTGGTGGTTTTTGGGGTACCGTAGTTGGTGGTTTTTGGGGTACCGTAGTTGGTGGTTTTTGGGGTACCGTAGTTGGTGGTAGATTTGGTCCTTGGTGGTAGATTTGGTCCTTGGTGGTAGATTTGGTCCTTGGTGGTAGATTTGGTCCTTGGTGGTAGATTTGGTCCTTGGTGGTAGATTTGGTCCTTGGTGGTAGATTTGGTCCTTGGTGGTAGATTTGGTCCTTGGTGGTAGATTTGGTCCTTGGTGGTAGATTCGGTCCTTGGTGGTAGATTTGGTCCTTGGTGGTAGATTCGGTCCTTGGTGGTAGATTTGGTCCTTGGTGGTAGATTCGGTCCTTGGTGGTTGATTTGGTCCTTGGTGGTAGATTTGGTCCTTGGTGGTAGATTTGGTCCTTGGTGGTAGATTTGGTCCTTGGTGGTAGATTCGGTCCTTGGTGGTAGATTTGGTCCTTGGTGGTTGATTTGGTCTTTGGTGGTAGATTTGGTCTTTGGTGGTAGATTTTGGTGGTAGGGCTTGCAGAGTTTGAGAGAGGCGGTTGCGTAGTAGTTCACCAGCATCACCTTAACTAATATGGCATCGAAGAGTGATTAGCTGCAGTCGTTTAGTGAATGGTTCCGTTGTGTCTTTGTTGGTTGGGAATGGGATTAGAAAAGGTGGGGTTGTGTCTTTGTTGATTGGGAATGGAATTAGAAAAGGTGGGTTTGTGTCTTTGTTGGTTGGGAATGGAATTAGAAAAGGTGGGGTTGTGTCTTTGTTGATTGGGAATGGAATTAGAAAAGGTGGGGTTGTGTCTTTGTTGGTTGGGAATGGAATTAGAAAAGGTGGGGTTGTGTCTTTGTTGGTTGGGAATGGAATTAGAAAAGGTGGGGTTGTGTCTTTGTTGGTTGGGAATGGAATTAGAAAAGGTAAGATTGTGTCTTAGTTGATTGGGAATGGAATTAGAAAAGGTGGGGTTGTGTCTTTGTTGATTGGGAATGATATTAGAAAAGGTGGGTTTGTGTCTTTGTTGGTTGGGAATGGAATTAGAAAAGGTGGGGTTGTGTCTTTGTTGATTGGGAATGGAATTAGAAAAGGTGGGTTTGTGTCTTTGTTGGTTGGGAATGGAATTAGACAAGGTGGGGTTGTGTCTTTGTTGATTGGGAATGGAATTAGAAAAGGTGGGGTTGTGTCTTTGTTGGTTGGGAATGGAATTAGAAAAGGTGGGGTTGTGTCTTTGTTGATTGGGAATGGAATTAGAAAAGGTGGGGTTGTGTCTTTGTTGGTTGGGAATGGAATTAGAAAAGGTGGGTTTGTGTCTTTGTTGGTTGGGAATGGAATTAGAAAAGGTGGGGTTGTGGCTTTGTTGGTTGGGAATGGAATTAGAAAAGGTAAGATTGTGTCTTTGCTGATTGGGAATGGAATTAGAAAAGGTGGGGTTGTGTCTTTGTTGGTTGGGAATGGAATTAGAAAAGGTGGGGTTGTGTCTTTGTTGGTTGGGAATGGAATTAGAAAAGGTGGGGTTGTGTCTTTGTTGGTTGGGAATGGAATTAGAAAAGGTAAGATTGTGTCTTAGTTGATTGGGAATGGAATTAGAAAAGGTGGGGTTGTGTCTTTGTTGATTGGGAATGGAATTAGAAAAGGTGGGTTTGTGTCTTTGTTGGTTGGGAATAGAATTAGAAAAGGTGGGGTTGTGTCTTTGTTGATTGGGAATGGAATTAGAAAAGGTGGGGTTGTGTTTTTGTTGGTTGGGAATGGAATTAGAAAAGATGGCGTTGTGTCTTTGTTGGTTGGGAATGGAATTAGAAAAGATGGCGTTGTGTCCTGTTGATTGGGAATGGAATAAGAAAAGGTGGGTTTTGTGTCTTTGTTGGTTGGGAATGGAATTAGAAAAGGTGGGGTTGTGTCTTTGTTGGTTGGGAATGGAATCAGAAAAGGTGATGTTGTGTCTTTGTTGGTTGGAAATGGAATTAGAAAAGGTGGGGTTGTGCCTTGCTGATTGTGAATGGAATAAGAAAAGGTGGGTTTTGTGTCTTTGTTTTTTGGGAATGGAATTAGAAAAGGTGGGGTTGTGTCTTTGTTGATTGGGAATGGAATTAGAACAGGTGGGGTTGTGTCTTTGATGGTTGGGAATGGAATTAGAAAAGATGGGGTTGTGTCTTTGTTGGTTGGGAATAGAATTAGAAAAGGTGGGATTGTGTCTTTGTTGGTTGGGAATGGAATTAGAAAAGGTGGGGTTGTGTCTTTGTTGGTTGGGAATAGAATTAGAAAAGGTGGGATTGTGTCCTGTTGATTGGGAATGGAATTAGAAAAGGTGGGGTTGTGTCTTTGTTGGTTGGGAATGGAATTAGAAAAGGTGGGGTTGTGTCTTTGTTGGTTGGGAATGGAATTAGAAAAGGTGGGGTTGTGTCTTTGTTGGTTGGAAATGGAATTAGAAAAGGTGGGGTTGTGTCTTGTTGATTGGGAATGGAATTAGAAAAGGTGGGGTTGTGTCTTTGTTGATTGGGAATGGAATTAGACAAGGTGGGGTTGTGTCTTTGTTCGTTGGGAATGGAATTAGAAAAGGTGGGGTTGTGTCTTTGTTGATTGGGAATGGAATTAGAACAGGTGGGGTTGTGTCTTTGACGGTTGGGAATGGAATTAGAAAAGATGGGGTTGTGTCTTTGTTGGTTGGGAATAGAATTAGAAAAGGTGGGATTGTGTCTTTGTTGGTTGGGAATGGAATTAGAAAAGGTGGGGTTGTGTCTTTGTTGGTTGGGAATAGAAATAGAAAAGGTGGGATTGTGTCCTGTTGATTGGGAATGGAATTAGAAAAGGTGGGGTTGTGTCTTTGTTGGTTGGGAATGGAATTAGAAAAGGTGGGGTTGTGTCTTTGTTGGTTGGGAATGGAATTAGAAAAGGTGGGGTTGTGTCTTTGTTGGTTGGAAATGGAATTAGAAAAGGTGGGGTTGTGTTTTGTTGATTGGGAATGGAATTAGAAAAGGTGGGGTTGTGTCTTTGTTGATTGGGAATGGAATTAGACAGGGTGGGGTTGTGTCTTTGTTCGTTGGGAATGGAATTAGAAAAGGTGGGGTTGTGTCTTTGTTGATTGGGAATGGAATTAGAAAAGGTGGGGTTGTGTCTTTGTTTGTTGGGAATAGAATTAGAAAAGGTGGGATTGTGTCCTGTTGATTGGGAATGGAATTAGAAAAGGTGGGGTTGTGTCTTTGTTGGTTGGGAATGGAATTAGAAAAGGTGGGGTTGTGTCTTTGTTGGTTGGGAATGGAATTAGAAAAGGTGGGGTTGTGTCTTTGTTGGTTGGAAATGGAATTAGAAAAGGTGGGGTTGTGTTTTGTTGATTGGGAATGGAATTAGAAAAGGTGGGGTTGTGTCTTTGTTGATTGGGAATGGAATTAGACAAGGTGGGGTTGTGTCTTTGTTCGTTGGGAATGGAATTAGAAAAGGTGGGGTTGTGTCTTTGTTGATTGGGAATGGAATTAGAAAAGGTGGGGTTGTGTCTTTGTTGGTTGGGAATGGAATTAGAAAAGGTGGGGTTGTGTCTTTGTTGGTTGGAAATGGAATTAGAAAAGGTGGGGTTGTGTTTTGTTGATTGGGAATGGAATTAGAAAAGGTGGGGTTGTGTCTTTGTTGATTGGGAATGGAATTAGACAAGGTGGGGTTGTGTCTTTGTTCGTTGGGAATGGAATTAGAAAAGGTGGGGTTGTGTCTTTGTTGATTGGGAATGGAATTAGAAAAGGTGGGGTTGTGTCTTTGTTGGTTGGGAATAGAATTAGAAAAGGTGGGATTGTGTCCTGTTGATTGGGAATGGAATTAGAAAAGGTGGGGTTGTGTCTTTGTTGGTTGGGAATGGAATTAGAAAAGGTGGGGTTGTGTCTTTGTTGGTTGGGAATGGAATTAGAAAAGGTGGGGTTGTGTCTTTGTTGGTTGGAAATGGAATTAGAAAAGGTGGGGTTGTGTTTTGTTGATTGGGAATGGAATTAGAAAAGGTGGGGTTGTGTCTTTGTTGATTGGGAATGGAATTAGACAAGGAGGGGTTGTGTCTTTGTTCGTTGGGAATGGAATTAGAAAAGGTGGGGTTGTGTCTTTGTTGATTGGGAATGGAATTAGAAAAGGTGGGGTTGTGTCTTTGTTGGTTGGGAATGGAATTAGAAAAGGTGGGGTGTGTCTTTGTTGGTTGGGAAAGGAATTAGAAAAGGTGGGGTTGTGTCGTACAGTTTATTATGCTTAATCTTGAGAACTCGTGAGTTGTATAATCGTGATTTGAGAACGTTGGGTAGTTGAGTTGAAAGTATAAAGAGCCGTCTTTTTCAGTTGTCGTGAGTTGATGGTATCGTGTTGGAGGTATTGAGTTGATAGTATCGAGTTGATGGTATCGTGAAAACGGTAATGTTTAGTTTTTGTGTAGTAGTGAGCTGTGTAATTGAGGGTTCAGTGTATCGAGGAGTCGAGTTGGTTGTTTTATACAGTTAGACTAGGTTCAAATGTATCGTGATGGAACATCCTACCTAAGATTGCTCCTAGGTAGGCGTTGTCCAGGCTGAAATTTTGATGGAAAAAATAGATATTAGCCATATGTATATTGTAGCCAGGAAAGTTTAAGTATTTTGTGACTCTTTTTGAGAACCTTGAACATTCAAGGGATGTGTAGGTCACAATATTATCTATTCGATAACTTGACTAATGTTTAGGAAAAGACCCACATTTTATCTATAGTTATCTAAATAGTAGTGTATTATTATATACTAGATAAATGGCCCATTGAAGGAGAAAAACAACCGGCGATAGTTTGATATTGGTTTTTTTCTGAACCGAAACCAAAACCAAAATCACCACCTCAACTTAAAATTTAACTGGAAACGAAAAATGTAATTGAATACGGATTTTTATAGAGAATCGGCATTTTTGTGCATGTGTATGTGTATGTGCATGTGCAAATGCATATGCATGTGTAAATGTATGTGTATGTGTATGTGTATGTGTATGTGTATGTGTATGTGTATGTGTATGTGTATGTGTATGTGTATGTGTATGTGTATGTGTATGTGTATGTGTATGTGTATGTGTATGTGTATGTGTATGTGTATGTGTATGTGTATGTGTATGTGTATGTGTATGTGTATGTGTATGTGTATGTGTATGTGTATGTGTATGTGTATGTGTATGTGTATGTGTATGTGTATGTGTATGTGTATGTGTATGTGTATGTGTATGTGTATGTGTATGTGTATGTGTATGTGTATGTGTATGTGTATGTGTATGTGTATGTGTATGTGTATGTGTATGTGTATGCGAATGCGTATGCGTATGCGTATGCGTATGCGTATGCGTATGCGCATGCGTATGCGTATGCGTATGCGTATGCGTATGCGTATGTGTATGCGTATGTGTATGTGTATGTGTATGTGTATGTGTATTTGTATGTGTATGTGTATGTGAATGCGTATGTGTATGTGTATGTGTATGTGTATGTGTATGTGTATGTGTATGTGTATGTGTATGTGTATGTGTATGTGTATGTGTATGTGTATGTGTATTTTTTAAATGTATGTTACGTCTACGTCTACTTCTACGTGTACCTGTACGTTTACGTTTTCGTTTATATTTTTTTATTTGTATGTTCATGTTCACGGTTGACGTTGTGGTGAGCTTTAAGGTTTATGTTTGATTTAGTTTTTACATAAGTGTTTTTGTTTGTGTTTGTTTATGTGTTTGGTTTTTTAGACATAGAAGTGCGCGGTTTATCTTTGTTTATCTTTTTGTTTGTGGTTGTGGTTGGTTGTGGTTAAGGTAGGTTAGAGTTAAGTTCAGGGTTATATAAATTTACTAGCTTTGCATATTGGAAATTTAACATATTCCCGAATTCCAGGCAGCGCCAGGTATATGACAAACATAATTATAAGTCACGGTTCTTTACAGATAAGTTGTTCACAAAAGCCAGTGCGGAGCCTGGCCGGGACGGCTAGTGTAATATATAAGAAACTTCAAAGTACTCATATTGTATGCCAGTTTATTGGGCGTCTGGTTTTTTTCGTGACGATGTGCGCTGATGCGGTCCTTTTGGAAGGGGGTGATAAAAGTCTTTTAAAACCATGATTGCCGGTGATGGCCTTTACTATACTGTTTGCAGGTGATGGCCTTTACTATGATGGGAATTATTATAAACGCTGGTAATGTCCTGAAGTACGTCTCGATGGTCTTGCTTGTTTTTGTCTACATGAATGATTGCTATAGCAACGTGTTTGAGAACTACCTGTCTTTAAATAAATTTGTCATTGAAGAATTCTCAGAGAGGACATCAGCCGAGCTCAAGAGTATTGCCAGTCAGTCCGCGGACGTGCAAGAAAATACGGCTTTTCAGGTACGATTAATTGAAAAACAGATACGGTTAATAGAATGTAGTTATGGTTAGAGTTAGTACAGTGTAGTTTCAGTTTACGCTTGTTTCAGTACAGTTTAGTTACATTGTAATTGCTTTTACATTCGCAATAATTTACGACGATATTTATTTCGTTTTATTTACCTGTGTGTACAACCACTCCAGCTACTCTCCTTGTCAGTGTTTCTTCAAGTCTTTTTTCTACGTGGTGGGGGGGGGGGGGCACTTGCTATTTATAGTGGGGGGGGGGGTCGGATTTAATTTTCCGGGGACACTGGTAAAAGTATATGTTTTCTATATAAAATCCAGTTCGGTGGTGGGGAGCTGTAGACTTTCTTCGGGGTGGGGATAATAATTAGATATTATTATAGTTCCATTTGCATCTTTTTATATAGATAACACATAAACCAACAAAATCTTAGTTGATGCATGAACCAGTTAATATAATTGTTTGTTTCATCTCTATTTTTACGGATGCTCCTTCGTGAGTACCGACATTCGGTTTAAACATCGCCCTACAAAAGAGATAGTAACTTAATAACCTAAATCTTGAGGCCTACTTAAAGTGGACACACATTCTTGAATAAAATGTATTTGTTGTAATCACGCAATGCAGGACCACACGATTAAAGATGTTAAATACGCATGCATATTTTTCAACGGTAATAGAATGTGTTGAGATTTTAAATTATTCATTTAAATTTTTCCATTAAAATAATTTTTTGTAATTTAATTATGATATTGTATTATTCATGTCATCTGAAAAAGCCTACGAGAAAACTACAAATTCGATATATAACACGAATATATAATATTTCACAAACCTATCTGAAATGGTACTCTGGTCATCGGGTCTAAACAGAGAGAGAGAGAGAGAGAGAGAGAGAGAGAGAGAGAGAGAGAGAGAGAGAGAGAGAGAGAGAGAGAGGATGGGCTGAATTAAAAACTATTTATTTCGGCTGCTAAAGGTTATTTAAACATAAAACTTTATCAAGATCTCGAATTAGATTTTCGCAGGTATACAATGCATCCTTCATCTTCCACAAACCACAAAGTGGAGAGATGCAAAATTGCGAAATCTCTTTTAATTATTGTGCACGATTAAAAAAAAAAAACACTTCTACCGTACAGATTTCTTTCTCTTTTCACGTTCGTAAAGACTTGATGACAATGCATTCTTGGCAAAATACATGTCTTAATTATAAGCAAATTATTTTTTAATTAATCGATGTTTCCTATAAACAGTACTCATTATTCGCTCTATGGTTTGCTTTCATTCGATGACTAATCTATTTTCTACTTGATTCTATTTTATTTAAACTTTTAAGTTTTCAAACAGTTCATGAAAATTCTATCCATACCCCAATTGAACTTGAATTGCCATCCCCTTTCCTGTTATATAAAAATATGATATATATATTCATAAGCATTTTATAAGAACTTTGCGGCTCTCCAAAAAAAAAAAAAAAACTTTTTTCACTTTCGGATTTCATTATGAGTTTCATCCTACTCCCCAGTTTTACATGATACAAGGGAACTTACTTAAAAACAAACAGTTATAAACAAAGCTATATACAAATATCATTCGGCAGATGAAATGTATTGATGAAAAGAAAGAGCGTCCCCCAAGAATCCATTACAAGGACGGGGAAATACAATGGGACATAGGCCAACCCTTGCTATTTTTAGACAAGTTTGATACGCCAAGAATTCCACTTAGGCTATTCCAGAGGTTGTGTCAGGTTAGTGGTCTAGGTTAGTCGGTCAGTTTTGTGGGTCAGTGGAGTGGGTCAGTGGAGTGGGTCAGTGGAGTGGGTCAGTGGAGTAGGTCAGGTGAGTGGTCTAGGTTAGTCGGTCAGTTTTGTGGGTCAGTTTTGTGGGTCAGTGGAGTCGGTCAGTTTTGTGGGTCAGTTTTGTGGGTCAGTTTTGTGGGTCAGTGGAGTGGGTCAGTGGAGTGGGTCGGTGGAGTGGGTCAGTGGAGTGGGTCAGTGGAGTAGGTCAGGTGAGTGGTCTAGGTTAGTCGGTCAGTTTTGTGGGTCAGTTTTGTGGGTCAGTGGAGTGGGTCAGGTGAGTGGTCTAGGTTAGTCGGTCAGTTTTGTGGGTCAGTTTTGTGGGTCAGTGGAGTGGGTCAGTGGAGTGGGTCATGTGAGTGGTCTAGGTTAGTCGGTCAGTTTTGTGGGTCAGTTTTGTGGGTCAGTTTTGTGGGTCAGTGGAGTGGGTCAGTTTTGTGGGTCAGTGGAGTAGGTCAGGTGAGTGGTCTAGGTTAGTCGGTCAGTTTTGTGGGTCAGTGGAGTGGGTCAGTGGAGTGGGTCAGTGGAGTGGGTCAGTGGAGTGGGTCAGTGGAGTGGGTCAGTGGAGTGGGTCAGGTGAGTGGTCTAGGTTAGTCGGTCAGTTTTGTGGGTCAGTGGAGTGGGTCAGTGGAGTGGGTCAGTGGAGTGGGTCAGGTGAGTGGTCTAGGTTAGTCGGTCAGTTTTGTGGGTCAGTTTTGTGGGTCAGTTTTGTGGGTCAGTTTTGCGGGTCAGTGGAGTGGGTCAGGTGAGTGGTCTAGGTTAGTCGGTCAGTTTTGTGGGTCAGTGGAGAGGGTTAGCTTTGTGGGTCAAGCGAGTGGTCTAGGTTAGTCGGTCAGTTTTGTGGGTCAGTGGAGTTGGTCAGTTCTGTGGGTCAGTGAAGTGGTCTAGGTTAGTCGGTCAGTTTTGTGGGTCAGTGTAGAGGGTTAGCTTTGTGGGTCAGGTGAGTGGTCTAGGTTTGTCGGTCAGTTTTGTGGGTCAGTTTTGTGGGTCAGTGGAGTGGGTCAGTTTTGTGGGTCAGTAGAGTGGGTCAGGTGAGTGGTCTAGGTTAGTCGGTCAGTTTTGTGGGTAATTTTTGTGGGTCAGTGGAGTGGGTCAGTGGAGTGGGTCAGTAGATTGGGTCAGGTGAGTGGTCTAGGTTAGTCGGTCAGTTTTGTGGGTAATTTTTGTGGGTCAGTGGAGTGGGTCAGTGGAGTGGGTCAGTAGAGTGGGTCAGGTGAGTGGTCTAGGTTAGTCGGTCAGTTTTGTGGGTAATTTTTGTGGGTCAGCGGAGTGGGTCAGTGAAGTGGGTCAGTGAAGTGGGTCACGTGAGTGGGTCAGTGGAGTGGGTCAGTTTTGTGGGTCAGTGGAGTGGGTCAGTTTTGTGGGTCAGTGGAGTGGTCAGGTGAGTAGGTCAGGTGAGTGGATCAGTGGAGTCGGTTAGTTGAGTGGTTCAGTGGGTCAGTTTTGTTGATCAGTTTTGTTGGTCAGTTTTGTGGGTCAGTGGAGTGGGTCAGTGGAGTGGGTTAGGTGAGTGGTTCAGTGGAGTGGGTCAGGTGAGTGGGTCAGTTTTGTGGGTCAGTTTTGTGAGTAAGTTTTGTGAGTCAGTTTTGTGGGTCAGTGGAGTGGGTCAGATTAATGAATTACTTTAATTAAATAAAGTTGTTGGGTCTAGTGTGTGTTTAATTTAGCGTAAATAACATTTGTATTGATGATATTTTGACCTGACTGACCCTCCCCATAACGCAGGTTCAAGTCTATGGTGCACCAGGTCCGGTGTATTGGGTCTAGTGTGTGTTTCAATTTAGCGTAAATAACATTTGTATTGATGATATTTTGACCTGACTGATCCTCCCCATAACGCAGGTTCAAGTCTATGGTGCACCAGGTCCGGTGTATTGGGTCTAGTGTGTGTTTAATTTAGCGTAAATAACATTTGTATTGATGATATTTTGACCTGACTGATCCTCCCCATAACGCAGGTTCAAGTCTATGGTGCACCAGGTCCAGTGTATTTGAGTCTGCTGATGGCTACAGGAAAGTTTATGATTATCGTCGTGTTTTTGATGTTTGTCATGATCGTTGTCATGGCCTTTGGAAACGTGTATGCGGTAGGTTTGTCTACAATATTAGTATGGGTACACTGTTAATTTGTGTGCTTTGTTAATTTGTATACATCGTTAGTTTAAGTACATTGTTAATTTGTGTATGCTTTAAATGTGTTATTACGTAAACTTATTTTGTGTATGCTGTTCATTTTGTTTACAGTGTAAATTTGCGTATGTTTAATTTTGTGTACATTGTTATGTAAACGTTTAATATCTGTAGGTCTTCGCTGTTAATTTGTGTACACTGTTTGTTTTAAAATTCTTATTCGTGTACAGTTTTATTTGGTGTACATTTTTCTGTGTATATTGTTAATGTGTGTTTGCTGTTAAATTTTTATAATCTTTATTTGTGTAAACGGTTGAATTTGTGTACACCGCTTATTTGTGTTTGCGGTTAATTATTGTATAATGTAGGATTGCGTACACTGTTAAATTGTATACATTATAAAATGGAGTACGCTTTTGAATTGTGCACTATATTAAATTGTGTACGCCGTTAAATTGTGTACATTGTATCGGTAGGTGTCATCGACCAACTCCACGTTGGCCACCCTCGCTGGTGGATTTATCCCGATGTTGCTGAAAAACGTCCTGTCATCTAGAGGTGCCAGAATCAGCCTGAAGACGGTCAGCTTCAAGGGTCAAATGGATGAGGTCATCAACGAATATAAACAGAACTGGCCGCTGGCCGATTTAGAAGCAAAAAAATATGTTCCAGGTGAGGAGGACGGTGAAGAAGAAAACAAGAAAGAAGAAGAAAATAAGAAAGAAGACGAGGTCCAGTCAAACGATGATAAACGTGATGGTCAGAAAAAAATAAAAGAAAACCTAATTAACCAAAAGGAAAACTTCAATGCTAATGTTTTTAACGGAAACGGTGACGCAACAACACTGAATCATGAAGAACCGGAAGTTGATCTTTTCCTACAGCTGACTCCTGACGTCACAGACACGTGGTCTGTGTACCACTCGAGCGAGGACAACACGTCGACCGGATCACGGTTCTTCGAGCCGGCAGACGTCCAGCCCAACATGTACCGTAGTGACAGCATTGATGAAGGCTACAGCCGGCAGTCACGTGGTCTGAACATGATGGCCAATGTGGCCCCCTTTGTTGTCATGTACGCTCACACTAAAGATGAACACTAACCCTCATCATAGCCAATGTTAATTGTTATGAAGAGCCCTAATCCTAACCTAAGTGAACTGTTGTAAAGAACTCATTCCAATATCAGCAATAAATCAGCAATCAAGGATCGCAACCTATCCCACAAAAAATATTTCCATTGCTTTTATTCCAGATAATTCTTTTTCATCTTTTTCATTCTTACTTGACGCAATGGTGTTCGTCGCATACGTTGACTGGACCGCCGGTACACTAGTACCGTGTGGGCCACTAGTACCGTGTGGGCCACTAGTACCGTGTGGGCCACTAGTACCGTGTGGGCCACTAGTACCGTGTGGGCCACTAGTACCGTGTGGGCCACTAGTACCGTGTGGGCCACTAGTACCGTGTGGGCCACTAGTACCGTGTGGGCCACTAGTACCGTGTGGGCCACTAGTACCGTGTGGGCCACTAGTACCGTGTGGGCCACTAGTACCGTGTGGGCCACTAGTACCGTGTGGGCCACTAGTACCGTGTGGGCCACTAGTACCGTGTGGGCCACTATGATAGATGCTGTAGTATTCCTATAAAGAGCCTAACTTTTTATTGCTTTAAAAAAAATCTTTATTTTTTGTTAAGTAACGCTAACTGCACCGGTGGCGTCACCTTCCCTCCCTTAATTATCATAGCGTGAAATTCAGCATTTTAATTTCGTTTCCTAACCCTAACCCTAACCCAGTTGGTCAGCCCCTTTTTTTTTTTTTTTTTTTTGTCGAGCTAGTGGCAACAATATACACTTTGTAAAATACGTAATGCAGTACAGATAAGCAGCTTACGTTAGAATCCGATAATGCTAAAAAAAAAAAAAAACGATCGCCTGCGAAATTAATTGGAGAAAATGAGCGCACACCTAAATCTGATATTGACTTAGTCGTTAGAGGCGAGCGCTTTTTCTGTGAATTTTAGAAGTCAATTGATCACTGTGTACTAAAATCTGCTCGTATTGACAAAATGGACACAGAAAACAGCCATTCCTAAACGGCCGTAAGCGCTATAACCTTCTGATTCAAAATTTCGACCAATCGTCTCTTAATATTCCGCATATTGAAAACATTCCAACAACAAATAAACTAGGGAAGTTCACTGAGGCAATACTAGGCATTTCGCTGACCAGTGCAACTTTTTACCAATTCCACGTTTTGGCCGTAATCCACTCATACACTTTAATAAGTGTACACTTTAATTAGTGTACAATTTAATTAGTGTGCACTGTTCATTTTTCATTGTTTTTTTTTGTGTGTATGTTTAATTTGTATACACTGTTCTAAATTCGTGCACGCTATCAAAACGTGAACGGTTATGTAGAGTCTCTAAGATTCAGACAGCCATACAAAATCTAAACGTTTGTACACATGTAAAGTTTCAATACATGAACACATGTGAAGATTCAACCTATGAACACATGTGAAGATTCAACACATGAACACATGTGAAGATTCAACACATGAACACATGTGAAGATTCAACACATGAACAAATGTGAAGATTTAACACATGAACACATATGAAAATTTAACACATGAACACATGTGAAGATTCAGCACATGAACACATGTGAAGATTCAACACATGAACACATGTGAAGATTCAACACATGAACAAATGTGAAGATTTAACACATGAACACATGTGAAAATTTAACACATGAACACTTGTGAAGATTCAACACATGAACACATGTGAAGATTCAACACATGAACAAATGTGAAGATTTAACACATGAACAAATGTGAAAATTTAACACATGAACACATGTGAAGATTCAAAACCCGTGCTGTAGAAATACACGCAAATGTTGCAAAACTAAACTTGTTTGTTTATAAATACATAATGACAAGCGTCTACCCATATCACTTGTGACGGAGCTTTCTCTAAACTGAGATCCAACTAGAATTGTTTGCCATTGATTTTACTCATATTGATAGCAGTTAATTATGCGATTTCACTAGTGAGTCCTAATAAATTTATTCACTACATCATTAATGCGCGCATGAGTTGTTTTTTTTTTTTTTTTTGGCCAACTAAATGAAGCTGGAGAAATCTTCTTTAGCCTTTATCTTATATTCTTATACAACAATAAGGGAAAATAACACTTTCAGCGCTATTGGGTTATAGACATTTTTTTTTAAATTAATGCTTACATTTTTAAAAAATGTAACATAATCTAGTAGAAAAAAATATTTCATGCCAAATGGTTAGTGTCATCGAGCAAAAAGTATTAAAAGAAATCTTTTTTTTTTTTTTGAGAAATTAAAGAGTACTACTTTTGGTCACCGGAACACACTGAAAATTTATCAGAATCAAGTAAGTAATATCTGTGTATAGATTTTCATCCACTGAACTAAATCAGTACTCAAGTTACCGATATTAGAAAAATTAAGAAAATAGAGTAAAGAATAAGTTAGTTTATTATTAGAACTTATAATTCTATATATTTCATCTGCCTCATGTATCGTGTTCGCAGGGAAATTAAGCTAGGAACATAGCTAGGTAGAAAGAGGATGCCTTCCTATCAAATTACGGCATCTCCTGATTCAGGTGGGGGACGGGGAGGGGGAACAAACCCACTAGCATCAATAATAGACTCAATTTAAACAAAAATCCCTTAAAAATTGATTTAAAAATCTACAAATTTAATATTTTATTTATGATGAAGTTTCGTCGGTACTCAAGTCAACCTGTTTTATGCACAAAGACAAACAAAATCACAAAACGTTTTTCCGGATGTAAAACGTCAAAGTTTGTCATCCTTACCCCCTCCCTTCAATGGTGCAGCCTCGCCCTCCCCTACCCAATACTGCCATAAATTCACAACAGCCCCCCCCCCATGCAACTCCAACTTTCCTCTCCCCAATTCAGCTCTATGTCTCTCCCTCCACCCCCATCTAATGAAGCTCTGCCTACCCCCCCCCCCCCCCCCTAATGAGCCTTACATTTCCCCCCACCCCTTCACAGTGTAACCACAGCTTTACATCGCGGTTCCCCCGCCCCCTCCCCCGCCAATCGCACACTTATACATTTCCCCCCCCCCACACACACACACACACAAAATATAGCCCCAGCGTCACTCCCCACATTGGAGCCACACATTCGTCCGATAAAGTCTCAACTGCCTCTCGCCAGTGTTGCCCCGCTTCGACCCCCCTTCCACCAACCCGCAATGTACCAGCACCTTCACCCCTTACATAATGTAGTCGTACACCCCACCCCCCCTTCCACCAACCCGCAATGTACCAGCACCTTCACCCCTTACATAATGTAGTCGTACACCCCCCCCCCCTTCCACCAACCCGCAATGTACCAGCACCTTCACCCCTTACATAATGTAGTCGTACACCCCACCCCCCCTTCCACCAACCCGCAATGTACCAGCACCTTCACCCCTTACATAATGTAGTCGTACACACCCCCCCCCTCCACCAACCCGCAATGTACCAGCACCTTCACCCCTTACATAATGTAGTCGTACACCCCCCCCCCCTTCCACCAACCCGCAATGTACCAGCACCTTCACCCCTTACATAATGTAGTCGTACACCCCCCCCCTTCCACCAACCCGCAATGTACCAGCACCTTCACCCCTTACATAATGTAGTCGTACACCCCCACACACACCCAAATACATCCCTTCGCTAATAACATACATGTCATAGCAACCAATGAAGGGTGTTATAATTAGTAGACCGATCGGACAAAATATAAACAACCTATATCAAGTCGATAAGAAAAGGACAAAAACCAATAATCCGAGGGTTATAATGCCAGACATGAAATTACCAAAGATTATAGGAAGTTTTCTCATTCAAAAAGCTTGGGGCTATCCTATCTGTTGAGGGAACGAAGCAAGAAATACTACATTAAGTGCCCAAACAACATCAACACTCAGTAACTTATGTAGCATTTGGCGAAATAAAAAGGCCAAAAAATGAGACAAAGGTCACAGGTCATATCTGTCATAAGAGTGCTAGGTGTGGTGTCATAAGGGTGCTAGGTGTGGTGTCATAAGGGTGCTAGGTGTGGTGTCATAAGGGTGCTAGGTGTGGTGTCATAAGGGTGCTAGGTGTGGTGTCATAAGGGTGCTAGGTGTGGTGTCATAAGGGTGCTAGGTGTGGTGTCATAAGGGTGCTAGGTGGTGTCATAAGGGTGCTAGGTGTGGTGTCATAAGGGTGCTAGGTGTGGTGTCATAAGGGTGCTAGGTGTGGTGTCATAAGGGTGCTAGGTGTGGTGTCATAAGGGTGCTAGGTGTGGTGTCATAAGGGTGCTAGGTGTGGTGTCATAAGGGTGCTAGGTGTGGTGTCATAAGGGTGCTAGGTGTGGTGTCATAAGGGTGCTAGGTGGTGTCATAAGGGTGCTAGGTGTGGTGTCATAAGGGTGCTAGGTGTGGTGTCATAAGGGTGCTAGGTGTGGTGTCATAAGGGTGCTAGGTGTGGTGTCATAAGGGTGCTAGGTGTGGTGTCATAAGGGTGCTAGGTGTGGTGTCATAAGGGTGCTAGGTGTGGTGTCATAAGGGTGCTAGGTGGTGTCATAAGGGTGCTAGGTGGTGTCATAAGGGTGCTAGGTGTGGTGTCATAAGGGTGCTAGGTGTGGTGTCATAAGGGTGCTAGGTGTGGTGTCATAAGGGTGCTAGGTGGTGTCATAAGGGTGCTAGGTGTGGTGTCATAAGGGTGCTAGGTGTGGTGTCATAAGGGTGCTAGGTGTGGTGTCATAAGGGTGCTAGGTGTGGTGTCATAAGGGTGCTAGGTGTGGTGTCATAAGGGTGCTAGGTGTGGTGTCATAAGGGTGCTAGGTGTGGTGTCATAAGGGTGCTAGGTGTGGTGTCATAAGGGTGCTAGGTGGTGTCATAAGGGTGCTAGGTGTGGTGTCATAAGGGTGCTAGGTGTGGTGTCATAAGGGTGCTAGGTGTGGTGTCATAAGGGTGCTAGGTGGTGTCATAAGGGTGCTAGGTGTGGTGTCATAAGGGTGCTAGGTGTGGTGTCATAAGGGTGCTAGGTGTGGTGTCATAAGGGTGCTAGGTGTGGTGTCATAAGGGTGCTAGGTGTGGTGTCATAAGGGTGCTAGGTGTGGTGTCATAAGGGTGCTAGGTGTGGTGTCATAAGGGTGCTAGGTGTGGTGTCATAAGGGTGCTAGGTGGTGTCATAAGGGTGCTAGGTGTGGTGTCATAAGGGTGCTAGGTGTGGTGTCATAAGGGTGCTAGGTGTGGTGTCATAAGGGTGCTAGGTGTGGTGTCATAAGAGTGCTAGGTGTGGTGTCATAAGGGTGCTAAGTATGGTGTCATAAGGGTGCTAGGGATGGTGTCATAAGGGTGCTAGGTGTGGTGTCATAAGAGTGCTAGGTGTGGTGTCATAAGGGTGCTAGGTGTGGTGTCATAAGGGTGCTAGGTGTGGTGTCATAAGGGTGCTAGGTGTGGTGTCATAAGGGTGCTAGGTGTGGTGTCATAAGGGTGCTAGGTGTGGTGTCATAAGAGTGATAGGTTTGGTGTCATAAGGGTGCTAGGTGTGGTGTCATAAGGGTGCTAGGTGTGGTGTCATAAGAGTGATAGGTTTGGTGTCATAAGGGTGCTAGGTGTGGTGTCATAAGGGTGCTAGGTGTGGTGTCATAAGGGTGCTAGGTGTGGTGTCATAAGGGTGCTAGGTGGTGTCATAAGGCTGCTAGGTGTGGTGTCATACAATTACAATAATTCCTCTCTACTTCGTATACGAGAAAGTAAAAATGGATAAAAAAATCATGTCTATATCCCGAGTTGCCATCACTAAGTATTTGAAATCACTAAGTAGTTGAAAGAATGTAGAAAATAAGTACTTATACCAATGTGTACAATTAGGTCTACCTAACTGAAACGGCACTTAAATTATCGGTATTTTAAGAGACCAGAAATGGAGTACCAGTTTCATTTATTGGAGGTCAAAGGTTAAAAGTGATCTAGTTATAGAATCTAATATTTGCATCTGAAATTGCGTCTTCTTAACTGAAACAGTACTCAAAACTATAGTAAAATATCATTTTTGGTTACCAGATATCGTTGTGAATTAGCTAGAAATATGCGCATGTAATACAGTACTTATATGTGAAATTTTGACTACCTATTGTAAACGGTATTCAAGCTATTGGCCTTAAAGAAACCATATCAAATAATAAGTACCACTTCCGGTTACCAGAAAATCGTTCAAAAGTTCCTACAGAGCTTTAAATTGAACATAATACCTGTATATGAAATTTCGCCAAAATAACTGAAAATATAGGCTACTCAAGTTATTGTGTTTACAGACACACTGATATACTGACGAATTTACAAAACCAAGTTTTTCCACTTCGGGGGGGGGGGGGTGTAAAACGTTGAGAATTGTGAAAATTTCGATTTCGGTGGGGTTTTTTTTCCAAGATTACAATGCCTTCTCTATATTTTGTATACGAGATTGTAAAAATCATTATTTCTCGTATTATCTTTGTTTCTTGTTTCTGTGTGTTGGGGAGGGGGGCGGTGGTGATGCAACGCTAAACAATTATATAGAGGTGTTGTAATCTAATGAGATGTTATGTAACGTTACACATTAGGACAAGAGGTGGTTATGACGTCACCTCCCATCAATACTCGCCCGGTCATTTCACTGACGTCACCAGGCGCGGATCAAGTACCCCCTGTTAGGAACAGACTATCCAATTGGAAGATGGATGTGGATATGGGGAAAGACAGTGTTTAGAGAACTATCCAATTGGAAGATGGATGTGGATATGGGGAAAGACAGTGTTTAGAGAACTATCGAATTGGAAGATGGATGTGGATATGGGGAAAGACAGTGTTTAGAGAACTATCGAATTGGAAGATGGATGTGGATATGGGGAAAGACAGTGTTTAGAGAACTATCCAATTGGAAGATGGATGTGGATATGGGGAAAGACAGTGTTTAGAGAAGAATGGCAGGAGCTGTGTTAAATTTTAGAATCAAGTAAAGTTTATGTGTTGCTGCTTTGAGCGTTGCTTTATGTATTACTCTTGTTGTTGTGGATTTTGTTATTTTCAACACAAATTCATGTTTTATGACTGGAGCAAAGTCTAGTCTATAGCGGCTAGTGTACACCAGTATCCTTTACTACTAGGTATGGATAAAGATTCTTGATTGAAAGACCTTAAAAAAAGGATTATCGCATCGTACGAGCCTTTGAAAGGCTGGGTTCACTTGTTGTGTTTGAGCTAGCGGCCTTTGAATGTGTCACCGCGTGTTGCGCCGTATCCAGCCCTCAAGTGCCTTTAAAGTCCACAGACGGCGCCGTCAAGCGTGGGCCTCCTTGTGTGCTCTGGACGGTAAGGTTACTACAGGCAAACACCAGGTAAGGGAAACCATAAGAATATTTTCATTTCTACAATGTACCTGTGTGTAGGATTTTACTTAGGGTTACCTATATGACTGTCTTCTAGTCTGTAATTAAATTAGTTTATCTGCAGAAATACTACTACTTTTGTAGTAATATCTGTAGATTAATATAAATGAGACTGGTATGTTTATAATTGGTATGAAAAATATTTGCATCTATTTGATTTATATCTGTAAGATTTGTATCTGTGCGGTTGATATCTGTGAGGGTTGGCGTTTTAGGACCAGAAAAGCTCATGTTTGTTGAACAGAAAAGCTCATGTTTGTTGAACAGAAAAGCTCATGTTTGTTGAACAGAAAAGCTCATGTTTGTTGAACAGAAAAGCTCATGTTTGTTGAACAGAAAAGCTCATGTTTGTTGAACAGAAAAGCTCATGTTTGTTGAACAGAAAAGCTCATGTTTGTTGAACAGAAAAGCTCATGTTTGTTGAACAGAAAAGCTCATGTTTGTTGAACAGAAAAGCTCATGTTTGTTGAACAGAAAAGCTCATGTTTGTTGAACAGAAAAGCTCATGTTTGTTGAACAGAAAAGCTCATGTTTGTTGAACAGAAAAGCTCATGTTTGTTGAACAGAAAAGCTCATGTTTGTTGAACAGAAAAGCTCATGTTTGTTGAACAGAAAAGCTCATGTTTGTTGAACAGAAAAGCTCATGTTTGTTGAACAGAAAAGCTCATGTTTGTTGAACAGAAAAGCTCATGTTTGTTGAACAGAAAAGCTCATGTTTGTTGAACAGAAAAGCTCATGTTTGTTGAACAGAAAAGCTCATGTTTGTTGAACCGAAAAGTCCCTAGTTCGAACACCCTTACAGATGAGGCTACATAGCTTTGGATAGCAATCCATCTATGAGTTGAATCTCCGAATTAAACAACTGCTGCCTTGTAGTTTATTGTTGGTTAGACAAAGAGGTTAAAGCAAATCAAGAAAAGCATAGGAGTCACCAGACTATGTGGCGCATAACCAGTTGACACATAACCAGTTGACACATAACCAGTTGATACATAACCAGTTGACACATAACCAGTTGACACATAACCAGTTGACACATAACCAGTTGATACATAACCAGTTGACACATAACCAGTTGATACATAACCAGTTGATACATAACCAGTTGACACATAACCAGTTGACACATAACCAGTTGATACATAACCAGTTGATACATAACCAGTTGACACATAACCAGTTGACACATAACCAGTTGACACATAACCAGTTGACACATAACCAGTTGATACATAACCAGTTGACACATAACCAGTTGACACATAACCAGTTGACACATAACCAGTTGACACATAACCAGTTGACACGTAATCAGTAGCGAAACTGTGGAACTAGAAAAAAAGAGCCACCCACTCCTCCACAAAACATTTTCGGGCTCAACTTATATATATATATATATATATATATATATATATATATATATATATATATATATATATATATATATATAAAGCAATGTATGTGTGTCTGTCTGTTTGTTTGTTTGTTTGTCTTTAATGCATTAGTAGACGTTTCGTTTGATCGCCGTGAAACTTTGGAAAGTTGTTGAGTGTACTCTTGGGGAGGTATCTGCGAAAAAAAAATTAATTCGCCTTGGCGCCCAGACACCCTAACCCGACATGGCGCCATTCGATTTTTCTACAGTATATAAAATATAAACGTCGATTGCGGTTTTACACCGATCGCCATGAAGCTTTGGGGAGCTGATTAGCTCCAGGGGAGGTTTGAGCATTTTTTTTCTTAATTTCGCAAGGGCGGCGCCCCATGAAAGTGCTATTTTGGCTATATACGGTACATACAAAAAAATAAAAGCTAGATGCAGTTCGACACCGTGCATCCGAGTTTTCAATTTTCAATTTTCAATTTTGCACGGAAAGCGCCACGGCATGGTACAATTTTGCGCCACTGGGTTTCACATGAGCGCAACTGCACCTACGTTCGCTTTAAACCGTGCGATACACGATGAATACAATGCGGTAGTATAGTTGCTCACTAAACTGAATCAGGTGCGTCCGCCAACGCCCCGATAGGGTGTGTTTTGGCGCCCAGGGCTATACCTTGTCCGCTTTTGCGCCGACGTTCGTTTTAAACAGTGCGATAGACTATGGATAAGATTGGGGTATTATAGGTGTTAAGTAAATTGAATGTGGCGCGTCCTCCTTGGGCTATCCATTAAGCACTATGGCGCCTACGTTAGTTTTAAGGTGCACCCCCACAATATTGACACGGTGATATACTACACTCGATGCTTAACCCGCAAGAGGCGCACCTTCAGTAGTGTAATCGGGGGCTCCCGAGAGAACCCCTCTACGTCCCTGACAACTGGGCTGTTTAGAAGTGTTGTCTACCTCACTATTACGGTGAGTTATAAAGTACATGATGCTTTCATGTACCAGTCCATGTGCGTTCTCGACGGAATTGTAGGTATACACGTGCCCCGATAAATATGATCCAATCGCAGGGTTTGTTGACTTTTAATAACTCAGTTTTAGAAAACAAGGTTACACGTCTAAGAATATAAGATAGGTAACGCATTTATGAAACCGTCCTAATATATTGCATCAGACTTTCTTCTAACCCCTCGGCGATGCGCGGCGACGGGCACGCTAGTATATATATATATATATATATATATATATATATATATATATATATATATATATATATATATATAAACACCATCTGTAACATCGTCGTTTGACAAAACAACACTTAAACCTAATCCTAGCTCTATCTTTAAACTTACCAATAACCACAACCAACCAAAACCAAAACACACTCAAAAACACAAACAAAAAACACAAAGAAAACACAAACGCAACCACAACCACAAAAGCAAACGCAAATATAAATGCAAACGCTAATATAAATGCAAACGCAAATATAAATGCAAACTCAAACACAAATGCAAATGAAAATCCAAACGCAAACGTAAAGTCAAACGCTAATACAAAGGCAAAAATAAACACGCAAATAATAACTCAGAACAGAATGCAAAATTAAACGCGAACATAAACACAGACTTAAACGCAAAAATAAACATAAACGCATATTGCTCACAGTATAACCCGGAGCGCCATAAAAGGAGATTAAGGATCGGCTTCTAAGCTGTTATTGATTAAAAATAATAGTACGTTCATTGTATAAAATAATTAAATGCCAGTAGGCCTATTTAAAATGTCCGTGTTGTACACACAACATTGTACTTAACCAATCAATTCTTATTATTTTTTAATGTTTTTCAAACAACAAAATCAACTAGTAAAATATATATTTTTACTGGTGTAAAGTTTTATTTATAAGGGAATTAATTTTTTTGTGATCTATCAAGGAAAACGATTGGATGTAAAGGGACTAAGGAAAGTAATTTGAACACTTATGTTTTGACACTAATAAAAATGTCGTAGTGGGTGATATATGCAATTAGATTTTGTTCTTTACACGTGACGTAAATTAAAATGATAAGTTTGGAAAATGAAACTATTTTTACAAAAACATAAATATTGATATTATGAATTTAGGCAATAAACATGTAATATACGTGTCATTCACGCGTCCGTCCGCCCGCTGTCACATATAATAAAATTTATTCCAACGTATATTCATCGTGAGAAAATATGCCACATAGAAATGGGCCCAAACTAATTTCTTGCCTAAAAAAACTTATTTTGTCGTTATTGGAGAAAATCCCTTTCAGCATTAGAACGAAGACAAAGGAGGTATTTATGATATTGGTATATGTGAGATTGGCCATTGTGAGATTGCTATCTGTGAGATTGGTATTCTCGTGAATGAGTGGAAACACTATTTGAAAATCCCATGGCAAATTACTATAATTGCTCAAAGCCTTTCAGGTCGCAAAATTTTACTTTTACAGAGCGGATGTTTAAAAGATCGATAATTACAACTGTAAAAAATGAGACTGTGCTACCGACTAATTTGTCTGTTTCATGTCTGCACATCATTTGCTCTTCTTGTCGAAGGCAAGAATATTGACAAGTAAGTAGAAGACAACCCTTCAGCATCAGTGTTAATGTAAACACAACGCCTGCGTCGATTGCTGAATCAGATACCACGTCTGCTTCAGTTGCGCTGGAACATAATAATATATTACATAATATATCAGAATAGTATCATGTAAACGGATATAGCTTGTTACATGGTAATGGCAGAAATTTAAAAAACGAAACATTAAAGCATACAAAAATAAAACTATGAAAAAAAATGCAAAAAAAAAAACCGTTATAATAACAAAGACAAAATGATTGTTTTTTTCATATATAATAATGTACTACTATTTAAATAACTATAAAGAAAAGCGTAGGTCAATATATTATGTATTTAATACTATAACTAATAATTAGGAAGAAACCCACGCTTTTCTTTATAGTGATTTACAATAGTATTGTATTTTTATACTTTTTTAACTATTTATTTTCTCTTTTTACTTTCTCGTATATACGAAGTATAGAGAAAGTATTGTAATCGTGCACAAAAATCACTTGAAATTTTAACAATTTTCACCGTATTACACCTCAGTCCTTCATCACATCCGAAGTATAGAGGACTTATTTTAATCGGGCAATAATTATCAATCCAGATTTATCAAAATTAAGAGGTTTCATGCGTAATCCAGTCTGTAAAACTGGGCTTTGCAATTCTGTCCGTATGTCTGTGTGTCTGTCTGTGTGTGTGTGTGTGTCCGTGTGTAAACACGATAACTTGAGTACCGTTAAAGCTAGCTTGATGAAATTTCATATATAAGTATTTCATCAAAATCGTAGATCCGTATCAACTTTTGAGCGATTTCCGATAACCGAAAGTGGTACTTTTTCTACTTTGAATTTTTCAAAAGCCTATAACTTGAGTACTATTTCAGATAGATAAATGAAATTTCACATGTAAGTATAAGATCTAATTCTCTACTTTCTGTTAAATTTTGAGTAATTTCCGTTGACTGGAAGTAGTAATTTACGCTACTTCCGATTTCTCAAAAAACTAATGTAAATTTTTAAAGTACTAATAATATTGCGCACTATTATGTACTTTTTTTATTTGGCGTTCACTTGGTGTGCAATTATTTTGTCTACGAGATTTTATTCTATTTTTAAAAATTTAAGTATTTAAAATGGATTAAAAATCATGTCTACAGCCCGATTTCCCATCCCCTGTAGTTTTATATAAGAATATTCGAGAAAGTTTAGGGGAGATCACTCCCGGTTTATTTAAAGCATTATTACATACAAGTGTATTATTAGAATATGCAATTTTTTCAGTGTATTTTACATTTTTACTTTCTTGTATAAAGAGTATAGAGGAATATTGTAATCGTGCACAAAAATCACATGAAATTTCGACAGTTTTTCACCATTTTAGTTCTCAGTACTTCATCACACACGGAGTATTTTCGATTTCTAAAAAAAACGCAAATCAGTTTATAAAGTACTAATAATATTCCTCAATATCATGCACATATCGCTTGACGTTCACTTGGTGCGCAATTATTTTTTCTACGAGATTCTAATTTTAAAAGTTTAAGTAATTAAAAATGGATTAAAAAATCAAGTGTATATTCCGAGTTTCCATCCCCCGTAGTGCTATATAAGAATATTCGAGAAAGTTTATGGGAGATCACTCCCGCTTTATTTTATTTACAATAGAGTTACAAGACTAAAAACAATTGCACACCGAATGAACATGATAATACATGTATAATTGTGCAGAAAGAGTAGTTGGACTGCCTACTAATTTATAAACTTTTAATCCTAATATATAAAAGCCCATGAGCGCACTTCTCTCTGCCCGCAATATGTTTGGCAACGTCGTCAGCCTGTTCAGCGATATATAGAGAACTTAAAGATATGGACTTGTGTTGAAAATAATATGGTAGACGGTATAGATGTATAAACTAAACTTTATTTAAAGATGGATAATCAAAATAAAGGCATATTCGAATGTAGAACAGATTTCTAACTAAAGCGTTTATTGTCGTGATAAGAACGCATGAAACAATGACGTCACATGAAGTTTAAACTAAGTCTAAGGAAAGAACACAAAACTAATGGCGTCATCTTCCAATTTTAGAATATGAAGAAATGAACTATGTCATTCAAATTTGGTTTAAATCTATAGATCTACTTATCATGACGTTCGCAATGAAATGTATACAATTTTCTAGGCTAAAAGTAATATAAAGTACTTTAAAAAACAACATAAATACCATTGAACAGCCGGAATTTTAATGGAATCTTAATCTGTGTGTACATTTAATAATGTTAAATTAATACGGTGTTGTGTTGACTAATAATGTAAACATTTTTTTAAATAGGTATTGGTAGCCTATGTTATTTTAAATGTATCGGAGTTTTAGCTATTTAGCTATTACTTTGCTTTGTCACTAATATCGTTCGACGTATAGTAAAGCACACTGCGTTTTGACTGATAACTATTTTATCAAATAGTTTTCTCAAACAAGTATATCATTAAAATATAGAGGCCTATGATTCCCGTGTAACGGATACCGACGGTTAGTTAATTCATAAAGCCCATGGTCTTACCCTACAGTAATATGACATTCAAGCAGCTTCGCCTGTCTGTATGAAACGATATATATATGCCACTAAGATAAATGAATGGGTTTTCAGTAGTCCAATATCAACGGTAATTAACTTAGATGAGATATTTGTTAAAGTTTTCATTCCATGATGTTTCCATAAAACGTTATCCTTAACCCGGACAACTAGGAAAAATTGAAAGTGATCCGAGTAAAAGATAGTTCACTTCTGTTTGAAATTAAAACAGTTCTCAAGTTATCACGTTCTCCTGGCAATAAAGTACCACTTGCCATTACTGGAAATCGTTGAGAAGTTGAAAGTAACTTACACATACAATCTAATACTTCTTTGTGAAACGTTCTCGACTTTTTAATCTAGGAAGTAGTGTACTACAATTTACGGTTCCAGAAATTGCTCAAAAATTGATCAAAAATACACATTTCAAATAATACTTATTTTTCAAATTAGATCCTCGAGCTATCGTGTTTACAGAAAAATGCATACACATACACACACACACACAGAGAGAGAGAGAGAGAGAGAGATGTGTCCGAACCTAACCCTAACCCTAGATTTTTTTCACGATTACAATACATCCTTAGTATTCCGCACAAAATAAATTAGGGACGTTTAAAACAGTGAAAACTTGAAAACTTTTGCGTGATTTCTATTTCTTCTGTATACAAGAAACTACAAGCGTGAGTGATCTCCCGTTAACTATCACGAATATTCTTATACATCACTAAGGGAAATGGCAAACCCAGTGCAATCAGGATACAGACATGTTTTTTTTTAATACTTAAAAAAGAATTGTGCATCTAATGAACGAACATAATACGTGAATAATAGCGCTATAATTTAGTTCTTTATAAAGAAAAAAAAAGATTAATATTTAAAAAGTTAATTAAACGTCTATTTAAGTCACATTTTGTGTGGCATATTTTATTGTAATTGTGTCTGTATCTACATGAAAAATTTGAAAGAAATCGGTTCAGTGGAATTGATATTTTTGGAGACAATAGGGAAATATCATAAAGCGCCACATCCAATCTATTTAAAATCGGAGACATTTAAGACAATATTATTTTGTACCTATGTACACTGCTTCGTTCAACGAAATGAAACGGTACTTAATTTATGAGTATTTTTGAAACCGAAAATAGGGTAAAATTACTATTTCTGGTTATCGGATGTAACTCAAAAATTTAAATTATCCAAGTGTAAGATCCTATACTTATCACGTCTTCCTAACTGAAACAGTAAAGTAAGACCTAGCAATCCATTGGGCAGATGAAGTAGAGTTGATATGTTACTTGACCTCGGCATATGAAGGGAAGGTGTGGTCAGCACTTTGCCAAGCCGGTACCCATTAGAACTGTGTGCACTCAGTCACGTAAACCTGAATGAACCCGGATTCGAACTCGAGAATTTCGGATTAGCAGCCTAGCTCTCAACTCCCTAGGCCACACCGCCCCAGTAACTGAAATAGTTCTTAAGTTAAAGTGTTCACACGGAAATAGAGAAAGCTCCCTCATCCGGTTATCGAAAAATGAATGAAAGTTGATAGAAATTTCCGCACACCATTTAGTACATATGTATGACATTTCGTCGACCTAAGTTAAACGGCTATGAAACCGAAAGTAGAGTAAGTACCACTTCCGGTAGCTGGATATTGCTCCAAAGTTGATTTAATACCGTTCCGGTAGAATGTAAAACGTCAAAGTTTTAAAAAATCTCTATTTAGATTGTTTTCGTGATTACAGTGCATCTTTTATGTTCCCATTATGATAAAATATCTGCTAATTATTCAGCACAACTACCATACTCCATCTGTAGAATACGAGAGAGTAAAAATTATGAAATTCATTTAAAACATTCAATTCCATATTTAAATGTGTACACAGGATCCTGTTCAGTATTACTAATATTGATCAACTCTGCATGAAATTCCCCTAATTACATTACAGGGAAATAAAAGAAACAATTCCAAAATAAATAACATTTTTTTTTACTTTGCAACCAGCAGAGAAGGTGATGAGTCAAGGGTGGACATTTTAAGGGACGCCGGGACGGAAGAATTGGCTGTGGGAGAATGTGATCTTTCTACAAGCGATGATCTGCAGCGTTTCATTCTTAATGTAAGCGTCTTAGTATTCTTACTTGAGCATCTAATATATCCCAAATTTAACTGTCTAAAATGTTACTAATGTAAGCGTCTAAAATGTCCTTAATTAAAACGTCTAGTGTAAAGTAAAACTCTTTAATATCTTTGACGCAAGTCTAAAAATGTAATGGTATAAATTATTCTAAATACAAGCGTTTAAAATATCCTAAATTTAATGGTAAAAAGTATTCTTCATGAAAGTGCCTATAATATCCCTAATGCAGGGGCAGAACTACCATGCCGCCAGACCCCGAATTGCCGACCCGAAAAAAAATGAATTTTAATTTTCGTAAATAAATTTTTTCGTGCACATTGATAGTGGTTTTGTAAAAATGAAACAGGTCTACTATAGCAGTGTTCTACCATAACACTCACACATTGTTGCATAAACGCTCAAATTACCTCCACGACTTATTCTCCTTCTTAACATAGCCTAGTAGGTGTGCACGTACGGCTCATTTTCTCTATGTACGGTATAAAAAAATAAAAGGTAAATGCGTTCGACACCGTTCATCCGGTCGCCATCAAACTTTGAGGACTTGATTGGAACACTCCAGGTGAGGTTTCAGGGGGGGGGGGGTGAGGAAAGGTTTTATTTGTGTCAGTTATTCTCCATGTCTCAGCTCCATAGACTAAAACAAGTTTCACTAGTGTGTTGAAGAGCCGGATTTTTATTCCAAGGGTTAAATCTCCAGAACCCCAAATATTTTTTTGGTTGGTTGAAGACTGCTCTTGCCTTGCCCGTCCTTATCTTTATGTCTGCTTCTATCCCGTCCTGCTTATCAACAATACTTCCATTGTCGTTTAATCTATTTACTTCTTCTAAGGCTTCTTTTACCAATGTTACAGGGGTGCTGCGTGATGCATTGACATTGAGAACTTTAATTTTCAATCTGTGGATGTTCAATGCCAGGCATGTAAAAAAATTAGCAACACTGTTGCTTTTATCTTGCATTTGCTGTTGTGTGTGAGAAAGAAGGGCCAAGTCGCCAGCAAAGTCCAGGTCATCCAGCTGGTTCCACAGTGTCCACTGTATACCGTTTCGCGTTTTCTCTGTTTGAACATCTTCATAATCTAGCCTATGGCCAGCAGGAACAGCAATGGTGAAAGTAGACAACCCTGCCTTACTCCGTACTGGGAAGGCCTCCAAAGTCTATTTGCCATGCAGTACTCTACTTTTCAGACCTTCATATGAAGACATAATAATGTTGACTATTTTCTGTGTCACCCCATAGTGTCTCAACAATTTCCACATTGACTGTCTATCCAGGCTATCAAAGGACTTCTCATACTCTATGAAATTAATATAGAGAGATGAGTTCCACTCTTGGGTCTGTTCAACGATGATGCGCAGGGTAACAATTTGGTCTATGCATGATCTTTCCTTCCTAAAGCCCGCCTGTTGATCTCGAAGCTGTAGGTCTATCACTTCCTTCATTCTGTATAATATTATTCTGTTGAAGACTTTGCCTGGGATGGACAAAAGTGTTAAACCTCTATAGTTAGAGCATGCACTAAGATCGCCTTTCTTTTGAAGTTTTATGAGTAGTCCCTTCTTCCACTCCTTCACTCCTTTGGTATTTGTTTACCTTCCCAGATTTTCTTGAAGAGTGTGTATAGTAGTGTGGTGCTAGTTTCTATATCTGCTGTCAGTGATTCTGCCGGTATACCATATGTTCCTGGAGCCTTCAAATTTTTCAGCTGCTTTATAGCTTTATGTATCTCTTCTCTTGAAGGTGGGTTGCAGTCTATAGGGAGATCACTTTCAGCTGGTGGTCTATTCAGTGGTTCTTCAAAACGTTCTGCACATCTCTTCCTCTGTCCTTCCTCATCAGGTATTGTCTTTCCATCTTTTGTCTTCCCTGGCCTTTCTGGCTTAATGAACTTCCTAGATATCTTTTTAATTATATTGTACACGTCCCTAATATTCCCATAGTAAAGTGCTTTTGTTTCACTTGCCAGCAGTTCTAAATAACTCCGTTTCTCTTTCCTTTTGCATTTCTTGACACTTGTTTGTTTCAGTATATTCTTCAATCATGCCGCTAGCGAGATGTAATTACAAGTAAACAATCTGTATTGCTTGTTTGTTTTTTCTTGAAAAAGTTTTTACTATTTAAGATATCCGTAGTTCAATTTTTGTTACAATAATTTAACATCCAATATTGCTTAGTGCGTTAAGTTTTCTGCTTCAAGTAGTTATGAAGGTACACGGTGGAGGCTAGAGACTGGGTTGGTTTAGTGATTGCCAAAAAAAAAAAGAATGATGTTGTATTAAATATAAAACAAATATGGTTAAAGGACAAGATTAAAATTTTGGGTTAGGTGCAGGGCATGGATTTTTGCCTCAAGTTATAATGAATGTAAAACGATATCCACAGGCAGAAGAAAGAGAGTCCGTCAATTTGTTCCAGTTTACGGTATATCTTAGAAACTACAATTCAAGTCCCTATAGAAATAACACTGGTTTTTATTACAAGGTAAGATAAGGTTAGGGTTAGAATTAGGATAAGATTTAAGATTTAGGTTGAGATTGTTACGTTTACGTCTACGTCTACATTTGCGTCTACGTTTACATTTACGTTTTACGTCTACGTTTACGTTTTACATTTTAGTCATTGTTACGATTACGATTACGATTACGGTTACGGTTACGGTTACGGTTACGGTTACGGTTACGGTTACGGTTACGGTTACGGTTACGGTTACGGTTACGGTTACGGTTACGGTTACGGTTACGGTTACGGTTACGGTTACGGTTACGGTTACGGTTACGGTTACGGTTACGGTTACGGTTACGGTTACGGTTACGGTTACGGTTACGGTTACGGTTACGGTTACGGTTGCGGTTACGGTTACGGTTACGGTTACGGTTACGGTTACGGTTACGGTTACGGTTACGGTTACGGTTACGGTTACGGTTACGGTTACGGTTACGGTTACGGTTACGGTTACGGTTATGGTTTTAAATGTCTTCTTTTTTAAAGTAGGCCTACTGATTCACCGCTCTATTATACATTATTACTTAATGAGCAATTATTTTTTCTACTCGATTCTATATTATTTTCAAAGGTTATGTATTGAAAAACATTTATAAAAATATTTCTATGACACAATTGCCATTGTACTCACTTTTAAATAAGAACTAGCCGTCCCGGCCAGGCCCTGCTCTGGCTTCTGTGAAAAACCTTTCTGTTAAAGACCATTACCTGTGTGTTTAGTAATCATCATAAACCCGGCATTGCACACCGAAACCACAACCAACAAAAACAACAAAACGAAAACATAACGCTAATACAATTACAAATACAAACGAAAACAAAAACCTAACAACAAACCCAACCACTACCACAAACACCAATACAAACACAAAGAAAAAACAAACAAAAAAGCAAACGAAAACAAAAACCTAACAACAAACCCAACCACAACCACAAACACCAATACCAACCAATAACAACACAAAAAAAAACGAAAAAGCAAACGAAAACAAACCAAATCCAAACGCAAAACCAACCAAAAACACAAATACAAACCCAAAGAAAAAAAACACAAACAAAAACGAAAAAAGAAAGAACAAAAACGAACCAAATCAAACCGCAACCACTAACGCAAACCCAACCTAAACACAAAGAAAACACTAACGCGAACATAAACGCAAAGTGCTCACAGTCTAGCCCGGGGCGGAATCGCTTGTTTTAGCTTAATAAACGACTATAGTACCCCAACTTATTCATAGTCTTTTGCACTCACTTAAACGAACGCGCCTGTTTCAATTTAATGAACAATTTTAATACTCCAAGCTTATCCGTAAAATACCTACAACATTTGCACTTGATCAATCCCCGCTAATTATGTAATTATTTTTTTTTCCCAACACCAAAACAAAGTAATTAAAAAGTAAATTATTTTCCACAAAATGCAATGGTTTTATAAAGGGAAGTAATTGTGTTTTCCTAATTTATCAAAGGGAAGTAAGTGCTATAGGACTAAATAAAGACATAATTAGAATTTTTGTAAAAGATGATATTTTTTTAAAAACTTGTGTTTAATGAAAATGCCGAAAATTATTACTTTCAGTTTGATAAATGAAAATTATTTCCCAAAACTTTTAATATTAATTTTTTAACTCATAAATTTAGACCATAAGGACTTTAATTATCTAACACTTAAATCCATTGAAGATCCACGACAAACATATGTGTTACATACAGAATTGAGCTTTATATATTAGTTTAAAAATTTCAAAATTGGTTATGGTAAAAAACCAGTAAATTAGTATTAATTAAAGGTATTTCATTATACCAAATTTAGAAACTTCGAAAAAAAATGTTTCTAGAATGTTTTCTTTTACATAAATTAGCCAGATGGGTCTATTAGGATTGTAAAAGAAGGATCGATTATTATATGATTATCTATTTCTTCGTTCTTAATTTTAGTGTTGGAAGGGATCCCCTCCAACACAATTAAGTTTAATTTCATGATCAATACATATGTTACTTATTTAACATTGGATGCCATTGCCATGGCAACCATATTGTAAGAAGAGACAGTGAAGCGTGCAACTATGTTCCCTTAAAATAGATACACACAAATAAATAAATTAGGTTTATTAATTAAGTACATTTCTACAGAGCCTATAGCTTTAAAATATATCTATAAACTTTCAATACCCCCGAATGCACCGAAATAGTACGCATTGCAATAAAACGAATAAACGTTCTAAGGAAAGAAGTTACCAGATAGATATCAACCTACTATCATTTGAGGGTTGTAAGTGGGGTGTTAAAGATTCCCAACTAACTTTGTCTAAGTTAACTGTGCGCGAAACTGCAATCACCCATAATAAGCACACAAGTCTCGACCCTTTGAATGTGAGGTTTTTCTCAAATGCCAGTGCAAGACTAGCCGAGACTACTAGTAACATAAATGTCTTGTATCAGCCGCCAATATCTGATGATCTGTCTGATGTCAGATACAATTCTTGTATGAATGGCCAATATCTAATGATCTGTCTGATGTCAGATACAATTCTTGTATGAATGGCCAATATCTGATGATCTGTCTGATGTCAGATACAATTCTTGTATGAATGGCCAATATCTGATGATCTGTTTGATGTCAGATACAATTCGTGTATGAATGGCCAATATCTGATGATTTGTCTGATGTCAGATACAATTCTTGTATGAATGGCCAATATCTGATGATCTGTTTGTCTGGAGTCAGATACAATACTTGTATGAATGGCCAATATCTGATGATCTGTCTGATGTCAGATACAATTCTTGTATGAATGGCCAATATCTGATGATCTGTCTGATGTCAGATACAATTCGTGTATGAATGGCCAATATCTAATGATCTGTCTGATGTTAGGTACAATTCTTGTATGAATGGCCAATATCTGATGATCTGTCTGATGTCAGATACAATTTTTGTATAAATGGCAAATATCTGATTATCTGTTTGATGTCAGATACAATTCTTGTATGAATGGCCAATATCTGATGATCTGTTTGTCTGATGTCAGATACAATTCTTGTATGAATGGCCAATATCTGATGATCTGTTTGTCTGATGTCAGATACAATTCTTGTATGAATGGCCAATATCTGATGATCTGTCTGATGTTAGGTACAATTCTTGTATGTATGGCCAATATCTGATGTTTTGTCTGATGTCAGATACAATTCTTGTATGAATGGCCAATATCCGATGATCTGTCTGATGTCAGATACAATTCTTGTATGAATGGCCAATATCTGATGATCTGTCTGATGTCAGATACAATTCTTGTATGAATGGCCAATATCTGATGATCTGTCTGAAGTCAGATACAATTCTTGTATTAATGGCCGATATCTGATGATCTGTTTGTTTGATGTCAGATACAATTCTTGTATGAATGGCCAATATCTGATGATCTGTTTGATGTCAGATACAATTCTTGTATGAATGGCCAATATCTGATGATCTGTCTGATGTCAGCTACAATTCTTGTATGACTGGCCAATATCCGATGATCTGTTTGTCTGATGTCAGATACAATTCTTGTATGAATGGCCAATATCAGATGATCTGTTTGTCTGATGTCAGATATAAATCTTGTATGAATGGCCAATATCTGATGATCTGTCTGATGTCAGATACAATTCTTGTATGAATGGCCAATATCTGATGATCTGTCTGATGTCAGATACAATTCTTGTATGAATGGCCGATATCTGATGGTCTCTTTGACCAAGACTGACATATCATACTTGCTATCTGTTGACCAGCCCTGGCTATGGTACACAACAAAAAACCAACATGGCCGGACTCTACTGATGCTGTCCTTTCATTACGACGTCTTGTCCATGAACATTCTCACCATTGGCGTCAAGAAAGCGGACATTGAACTCAGGGACAATCCGTTCGGTTGTTTTGGTAGGTATTTTTTTTTTTATCCACGAGATTTTCGTGGGTATTTTTTTTTTTTTTTTGTGGATTGAATATTTTGTTGGGTTCAGTTGTTACTTTTGTACAGGAGGTTTTGGTGGGTACAGTTGTTACTTTTGTACTCGTGGTTTTGGTAAGTATATTTTTATTATGCATATATATATATATATATATATATATATATATATATATATATATATATATATATATATATATATATATATATATATATATACTAGCCGTCCCGGCCAGGCCCTGCTCTGGCCTCTGTGAAAAACATTTCTGTTAAAGACCATTACCTGTGTGTTTAGTAATCATCATATACCCGGCATTGCCCACCCTAACCACAACCAACGAAAAAAAAACAAAAAAAACACAAACATAACGCAAACACAATTACAAATACAAACGAAAACAAAAACCTAACAACAAACCCAACCACAACCACAAACACCAATACAAACACAAAGAAAAAACAAACGAAAAAGCAAACGAAAACAAACCAAATCCAAACGCAAACCCAACCACAACACAACACAAACACAACACAACACAATATAAACACAACACAACACAAACACAACACGAACACAACAAAACACAACACAACCCGGGACAGCTAGTATTATATCGGCCACTACCCGAAGAATTGCATTAAAGAAATTGCAAGAAAACCACTTTTTAGATTAGACACATTAATTAGGCGGTAATTTTATTATAGAGTATCGATGAAGAAATTTCTTTTGAGTTGGGGAGGGGGGGGGGGCTCAGACGTTCTTACGTGGGGGTGGGGCTTCGCCCCTACCCGAAGAATTGTATGAAAGAAACTCTTCACGCAAAACACTTAGATTAGACCAAATTGCCTTTGTATTCAATGTTTACTCGAGAAACAATGACGTCATATTACTGAGATTATTTTCTACTCTATGCTAAATGTGACCGCGTCATACTTCGTCTTTCGTTTCACTGTGAGAGTTTTTAATTTCCTTGTGTTTTCTCTAGAGCGTTCTTGTCAGACAGATAGATAGATAGATAGATACATACATAGAGAGACAGCGAAACTATTAGTATTAATGGTATATCTTCTTGTAGTTTGGTGCAGGTGTCTATAAAAGAGCTTTCTGGTGCGACAAAAACGAATTCCCCTTCGTGCGCAAAAAAGGACAGACAAAATGAATGCGCAAAAAAATAGTAACGTGCGGGAATTCCCATTCCCGAATACAGATGTCTTTTGTTACTTCACCTGTCTTTGATTAAAAGTAATAATAAGAAAACAGTACGATCAGTGTGTGGAATAAATAAAAGGCAGTATTAAAAATACAAACAACATTGCACTTAATCAATCCCAGCTAATTATGTAATTATTTTTTTCCTAACACCAAAACAAAGTAATAAAAAGTAAATTCTCTCCCCGATTTGTTTTTTAAGGGAAGTAACTGTGTTTTCCTAATCAAGGGACGTAATGAGCGCTAAACGACTAAATGCAAATACTTTTCAGACACAATTATCTATATATATAATTCTCTTCTTCGAGCCGTTAGAAAACAAGCTGCAAACGCTCTCCCTACCTCCCCACCCCTACATGGTTTTAGTGAGCTGTGTTCACTCTAAATGTTTACAAGCAGAGCCAACGATTTTAAACGTAGGGGGGGGGGGGGGGAGGAGGGGGGGGGGGGGGAGGGAAGGAAGGGGGGGTTATGGTCCTTAACGAGCTACTTATAGTGTTTTAAAGAAATATTTTCAGTGTCAGCGTTGGTACTGTCGAATTCACAAATTATGAATTATTGAAAATTAGAAACAACTAAATAGCGGCGTATGTTATGCCGCGGGCCGGCTCGTACATTTTATAAACGCTGATTCATTTTTTTTAAATTTTATGTAATATTCATAATGAAAAATATTATTCTAAGTATGCAAAATGAAAAATGTTTTAAAACACTTTCAATATTAATTATTTAAGTCACTTATTTAGACCATGAGTACTTTAAAAATCTATTACTTAAATCAATGTAAGTATGGTTTTTTCTTATATTCCTTTGAAATCCACGACATACAAACTTACAGATTTGAACATTTTATATTATACGAGCCGACCCGCTGCGTATCATACGCCGCTATTTGGTTGTTTTTTTTTTCTACTTTTCAGTAATTTATAATTTGTGAATTCGACAGTACCAATGCTGCCACTGAAAATATTTGCTTAAAAACACTACCCCCCCCCCCCCTTTCCCCCCCCCCCCCCCCCCCCCACGTGAAAGCGGCCTCCTCTTAGTTACCTCCTCTAAGTTTAAAATCGTTTCAAACTAAATTATCTGCCCCTAATAGCCGTCACCAAACCCGTCTCCATGATTGTAAAATGTAAACAGCGTGAACCACAGCTCACCAAACCATGTGAGGGGGTGGGGGTGGGGGGGGGGGGGGGGTTGGAGGTGGTAGCGTAAGAGAGGAAGAGAATTATATATATAGATATATATATATATATGTATATATATATATATATATATATATATATATATATATATATATATATATATATATATATATCAGGATATAAAGAGGTATATCATGCATTTATATGTATATAAATATATAGATATTAATCATTCTTTAAATATTCTAAGATTAAATTTCCTAAATCATACTTTAGCGATCTTTTAGATTTGTTTAAAACAGTAGCTTGGTTAAATCTTGATATCAATGAATATTCTAAATCTTTAATCACGGGTAGCAGTTTAATTACTGACGCCTACAGTTTTCTTTCATTGTTAATTACCCAACGAAAATTCCCCATCTTAAACACACACTTAGCGGTGTAGGTGTAGGTGTAGGTGTAGGTGTAGGTGTAGGTGTAGGTGTAGGTGTAGGTGTAGGTGTAGGTGTAGGTGTAGGTGTAGGTGTAGGTGTAGGTGTAGGTGTAGGTGTAGGTGAAGGTGAAGGTGTAGGTGTAGGTGTAGGTGTAGGTGTAGGTGTAGGTGTAGGTGTAGGTGTAGGTGTAGGTGTAGGTGTAGGTGTAGGTGTAGGTGTAGGTGTAGGTGTAGGTGTAGGTGTAGGTGTAGGTGTAGGTGTAGGTGTAGGTGTAGGTGTAGGTGTAGGTGTAGGTGTAGGTGTAGGTGTAGGTGTAGGTGTAGGTGTAGGTGTAGGTGTAGGTGTGTGTGTAGGTTTAGGTTTAGGTTTAGGTTTAGGTTTAGGTTTAGGTTTAGGTTTAGGTTTAGGTTTAGGTTTAGGTTTAGGTTTAGGTTTAGGTTTAGGTTTAGGTTTAGGTTTAGGTTTAGGTTTAGGTTTAGGTTTAGGTTTAGGTTTAGGTTTAGGTTTAGGTTTAGGTTTAGGTTTAGGTTTAGGTTTAGGTTTAGGTTTAGGTTTAGGTTTAGGTTTAGGTTTAGGTTTAGGTTTAGGTTTAGGTTTAGGTTTAGGTTTAGGTTTAGGTTTAGGTTTAGGTTTAGGTTTAGGTTTAGGTTTAGGTTTAGGTTTAGGTTTAGGTTTAGGTTTAGGTTTAGGTTTAGGTTTAGGTTTAGGTTTAGGTTTAGGTTTAGGTTTAGGTTTAGGTTTAGGTTTAGGTTTAGGTTTAGGTGTACGTGTACGTGTACGTGTACGTGTACTTGTAGGCGTAGGCGTATGCGGTGGCGTATGTGCAGACATGATTATTTCCTTTGTGATAGAGATATGAGCAGAATTAGCTATAGGCCAATCTATGAGCGAGAATGTTAGTTGGTCTATGAAGTTTGATGTGGTTTTGGTGTGTGCAGAAATGTTAACTACTGCTTATAAAATTGTTTTATTGTTTTCATACACCACGTTTTTTAAATACTAAACTTAATTTTCAGTAAATTTGAGTACTGATATGCAGGCCAATTCAATCCGAATGTTGTTATTGAGTCAATCTGTCGTTGATAAGTCACCGTCAAGGTTGGTTCATCAGTGTGTGTCCATAGATAGATGGCATTAGACAGTTCGGTGTTGCCCTTTTTATATAGTCTAAGGTTTACCTCCAGTGAAAGATTTGTTTGTAACCAAGAAATCCAACAAATTGCTGGACGTGCAGACTTTGTCCACAACTGTTGCCGTAGAGATATCCACAACAACGTCGTCTGTTCAAGAAACCAAGAGGACTTTTGGATCAACATTTTATACCTGGCCATAACTTCGATCAAGGTCAGACTTTTTATTTGACCACATATATATAGCTGTGTAGTTATGGGCAACGGTACAAACCTTATTTTATATTGCATTTTGATGTTTGTCTTCTAACGTTCTAAATTACGCTTTACTGTTTTCTGCATTAGATTTTGATGTTTTTATTCTGCCCTAAATTTCTGCCAAAGACTGTTTACAACGCCGCATATGTTGCATCGGAATATGTTGTTCACCTAAAGAACTCGATCCAAATGAAGATTTTCATCACAGATCAGGTAAGTCTTCTGATGTTTGCAAATAAGAATGCTCTTTGAAGTGAATACAATGCGGCCAATATGGGTATTTTTAAATGTCCTGATGAGGTGGTTTCACTTCAGGCAGACACCAACGTCCGCTACAGAAAACGTTTGACCTTTGAGCAGATCTCCGCGTGGGCAAAATTCAGAGAAGCTGTTGACAACTTGCCGAGAGAAGAAACTAGTCACGTGCATATATCACAGCTGCGGATTAAGGTTTGGGTAGAGGGCAAAGATTAAGGTTTGGGTAAAGTAGAGGGCAAAGATTAAGGTTTGGGTAGAGGGCAAAGATTAAGGTTTGGGTAAAGTAGAGGGCAAAGATTAAGGTTTGGGTAGAGGGCAAAGATTAAGGTTTGGGTAAAGTAGAGGGCAAAGATTAAGGTTTGGGTAGAGGGCAAAGATTAAGGTTTGGGTAAAGTAGAGGGCAAAGATTAAGGTTTGGGTAAAGTAGAGGGCAAAGATTAAGGTTTGGGTAGAGGGCAAAGATTAAGGTTTGGGTAGAGGGCAAAGATTAAGGTTTGGGTAGAGGGCAAAGGTTAAGGTTTGGGTAAAGTAGAGGGCAAAGATTAAGGTTTGGGTAGAGGGCAAATATTAAGGTTTGGGTAGAGGGCAAAGATTAAGGTTTGGGTAGAGTGCAAAGATTAAGGTTTGGGTAGAGGGCAAAGATTAAGGTTTGGGTAAAGGGCAAAGATTAAGGTTTGGGTAGAGGGCAAAGATTAAGGTTTGGGTAGAGGGCAAAGATTAAGGTTTGGGTAGAGGGCAAAGATTAAGGTTTGGGTAGAGGGCAAAGATTAAGGTTTGGGTAAAGGGCAAAGATTAAAGTTTGGGTAGAGGGCAAAGATTAAGGTTTGGGTAAAGTAGAGGGCAAAGATTAAGGTTTGGGTAGAGGGCAAATATTAAGGTTTGGGTAGAGGGCAAAGATTAAGGTTTGGGTAGAGGGCAAAGATTAAGGTTTGGGTAGAGTGCAAAGATTAAGGTTTAGGTAGTGGGCAAAGATTAAGGTTTGGGTAGAGGGCAAAGATTAAGGTTTGGGTAAAGTAGAGGGCAAAGATTAAGGTTTGGGTAGAGGGCAAAGATTAAGGTTTGGGTAGAGGGCAAAGATTAAGGTTTGGGTAGAGGGCAAAGATTAAGGTTTGGGTAGAGGGCAAAGATTAAGGTTTGGGTAGAGGGCAAAGATTAAAGTTTGGGTAGAGGGCAAAGATTTAGGTTTGGGTAGAGGGCAAAGATTAAGGTTTGGGTAGAGGGCAAAGATTAAGGTTTGGGTAAAGGGCAAAGATTAAAGTTTGGGTAGAGGGCAAAGATTAAGGTTTGGGTAAAGTAGAGGGCAAAGATTAAGGTTTGGGTAGAGGGCAAAGATTAAGGTTTGGGTAGAGGGCAAAGATTAAGGTTTGGGTAGAGGGCAAAGATTAAGGTTTGGGTAGAGGGCAAATATTAAGGTTTGGGTAGAGGGCAAAGATTAAGGTTTGGGTAGAGGGCAAAGATTAAGGTTTGGGTAGAGGGCAAAGATTAAGGTTTGGGTAGAGGGCAAAGATTAAAGTTTGGGTAAAGTAGAGGGCAAAGATTAAGTTTTGGTTAGAGGGCAAAGATTAAGGTTTGGGTAGAGGGCAAAGATTAAGGTTTGGGTAAAGTAGAGGGCAAAGATTAAGGTTTGGGTAAAGTAGAGGGCAAAGATTAAGGTTTGGGTAGAGGGCAAAGATTAAGGTTTGGGTAAAGGGCAAAGATTAAGGTTTGGGTAAAGGGCAAAGATTAAAGTTTGGGTAGAGGGCAAAGATTAAGGTTTGGGTAAAGTAGAGGGCAAAGATTAAGGTTTGGGTAGAGGGCAAATATTAAGGTTTGGGTATAGGGCAAAGATTTAGGTTTGGGTAGAGGGCAAAGATTAAGGTTTGGGTAGAGGGCAAAGATTAAGGTTTGGGTAAAGTAGAGGGCAAATATTAAGGTTTGGGTAGAGGGCAAAGATTAAGGTTTGGGTAGAGGGCAAAGATTAAGGTTTGGGTAAAGTAGAGGGCAAAGATTAAGGTTTGGGTAAAGGGCAAAGATTAAAGTTTGGGTAGAGGGCAAAGATTAAGGTTTGGGTAGAGGGCAAAGATTAAGGTTTGGGTAAAGTAGAGGGCAAAGATTAAGGTTTGGGTAAAGTAGAGGGCAAAGATTAAGGTTTGGGTAAAGTAGAGAGCAAAGATTAAGGTTTGGGTAAAGGGCAAAGATTAAAGTTTGGGTAGAGGGCAAAGATTAAGGTTTGGGTAAAGTAGAGGGCAAAGATTAAGGTTTGGGTAGAGGGCAAATATTAAGGTTTGGGTAGAGGGCAAAGATTAAGGTTTGGGTAGAGGGCAAAGATTAAGGTTTGGGTAGTGGGCAAAGATTAAGGTTTGGGTAGAGGGCAAAGATTAAGGTTTGGGTAAAGGGCAAAGATTAAGGTTTGGGTAGAGGGCAAAGATTAAGGTTTGGGTAGAGGGCAAAGATTAAGGTTTGGGTAAAGGGCAAAGATTAAGGTTTGGGTAGAGGGCAAAGATTAAGGTTTGAGTAGAGGGCAAAGATTAAGGTTTGTGTAGAGGGCAAAGATTTAGGTTTGGGTAAAGTAGAGGGCAAAGATTAAGGTTTGGGTTAAGTAGAGGGCAAAGATTAAGGTTTGGGTAAAGTAGAGGGCAAAGATTAAGGTTTGGGTAGAGGGCAAAGATTAAGGTTTGGGTAGAGGGCAAAGATTAAGGTTTGGGTAGAGGGCAAAGATTAAGGTTTGGGTAAAGTAGAGGGCAAAGATTAAGGTTTGGGTAGAGGGCAAAGATTAAGGTTTGGGTAAAGTAGAGGGCAAAGATTTAGGTTTGGGTAAAGTAGAGGGCAAAGATTAAGGTTTGGGTAGAGGGCAAAGATTAAGGTTTGGGTAAAGTAGAGGGCAAAGATTTAGGTTTGGGTAGAGGGCAAAGATTAAGGTTTAGGTAGAGGGCAAAGATTAAGGTTTGGGTAGAGGGCAAAGATTAAGGTTTGGGTAGAGGGCAAAGGTTAAGGTTTGGGTAAAGGGCAAAGATTAAGGTTTGGGTAGAGGGCAAAGGTTAAGGTTTGGGTAGAGGGCAAAGGTTAAGGTTTGTGTAGAGGGCAAAGATTAAGGTTTGGGTAAAGTAGAGGGCAAATGATTAAGGTTTGGGTAGAGGGCAAAGATTAAGGTTTGGGTACAGGGCAAAGATTAAGGTTTGGGTAGAGGGCAAAGATTAGGGTTTGGGTAGAGGGCAAAGATTAAGGTTTGGGTAGAGGGCAAAGATTAAGGTTTGGGTAGAGGGCAAATATTAAGGTTTGGGTATAGGGCAAAGATTTAGGTTTGGGTAGAGGGCAAAGATTAAGGTTTGGGTAGAGGGCAAAGTTTAAGGTTTGGGTAAAGGGCAAAGATTAAAGTTTGGGTAGAGGGCAAAGATTAAGGTTTGGGTAAAGTAGAGGGCAAAGATTAAGGTTTGGGTAGAGGGCAAAGATTAAGGTTTGGGTAAAGGGCAAAGATTAAGGTTTGGGTAAAGTAGAGGGCAAAGATTAAGGTTTGGGTAAAGTAGAGGACAAGATTATGGTTTGGGTAGAGGGCAAAGATTAAGGTTTGGGTAGAGGGCAAAGATTAGGGTTTGGGTAGAGGGCAAAGATTAAGGTTTGGGTAGAGGGCAAAGATTAAGGTTTGGGTAAAGGGCAAAGATTAAAGTTTGGGTAGAGGGCAAAGATTAAGGTTTGGGTAGAGGGCAAAGATTAAGGTTTGGGTAAAGTAGAGGGCAAAGATTAGGGTTTGGGTAGAGGGCAAAGATTAAGGTTTGGGTAGAGGGCAAATATTAAGGTTTGGGTAGAGGGCAAAGATTAAGGTTTGGGTAGAGGGCAAAGATTAAGGTTTGGGTAAAGTAGAGGGCAAAGATTAAGGTTTGGGTAGAGGGCAAAGATTAAGGTTTGGGTAAAGTAGAGGGCAAAGATTAAGGTTTGGGTAGAGGGCAAAGATTAAGGTTTGGGTAGAGGGCAAAGATTAAGGTTTAGGTAGTGGGCAAAGATTAAGGTTTGGGTAGAGGGCAAAGATTAAGGTTTGGGTAAAGTAGAGGGCAAAGATTAAGGTTTGGGTAGAGGGCAAAGATTTAGGTTTGGGTAGAGGGCAAAGATTAAGGTTTGGGTAGAGGGCAAAGATTAAGGTTTGGGTAAAGTAGAGGGCAAAGATTAAGGTTTGGGTAAAGTAGAGGGCAAAGATTAAGTTTTGGTTAGAGGGCAAAGATTAAGGTTTGGGTAGAGGGCAAAGATTAAGGTTTGGGTAAAGTAGAGGGCAAAGATTAAGGTTTGGGTAGAGGGCAAAGATTAAGGTTTGGGTAAAGTAGAGGGCAAAGATTAAGGTTTGGGTAGAGGGCAAAGATTAAGGTTTGGGTAAAGTAGAGGGCAAAGATTAAGGTTTGGGTAGAGGGCAAAGATTAAGGTTTGGGTAGAGGGCAAAGATTAAGATTTGGGTAGAGGGCAAAGATTAAGGTTTGGGTAGAGGGCAAAGATTAAGGTTTGGGTAGAGGGCAAAGATTAAGGTTTGGGTAAAGTAGAGGGCAAAGATTAAGGTTTGGGTAGAGGGCAAAGATTAAGGTTTGGGTAGAGGGCAAAGATTAAGGTTTGGGTAGAGGGCAAAGATTAAGGTTTGGGTAAAGTAGAGGGCAAAGATTAAAGTTTGGGTAAAGTAGAGGGCAAAGATTAAAGTTTGGGTAAAGTAGAGTGGGAAGATTGATTACGGATTGATTAAGCGTTAGGATTAAGGCTTTGATAAATAACAGGGCTTCCCTCAGGTACAAGGTAAGATTTTGTTATTACCTAATGTGATGTAGTTTTACGACTATATGTTGAACATCTGATTCTGCATTACTTGACAGGTAAAAGGAAAAAGGATTCTACCTGAATGTGAACCTCCTACTGGGTTATTAAGGACAGTTTACGATAACCTATTCAGGTGTAAACTAAAAAACCTTGACCCTTTTAAAGATTGTTGTGAATCAAGTATCTTCGCGGACATGGAGCCGAACTGTCGGCTTAAAATTACATGGTTCAATTTTATTCAGGTACAATATTGTTCAGGTACAATTTTTTTCAGGTACAATTTGGTTCTGGGACAATTTTTTCTGGTACAATTAGGTTCTGGTACAATTTTGTTCAGGTTCAATTTTATTCAGGTACATTTTTGTTCAGGTACAATTTGGTTCTGGTACAATTTGGTTCTGGAACAATTTTTTCTGGTACAAACCCTAACGCATGAGGTAATATGGTCTTCGATGTTGAACAGTTACAAATATAGCTACATTTTAAAAATATTCTGTCTGTCGTACTCAAATGTGATGTTGTATCAACTGCCTGTCGACTTGTCATATGATCTTTTCAAGTTATGTCTCTTTATTGTCCTGGTATTTTTATGATGTCTTTACTTTTGTGATACATCCTTTTTTCTGCAGGTAATTGTGAAAATGCTGATGATTGTTATATTCCCGATCCCGTATTACATCCGTTTAATCATCTACTTTAAATTCGAAGAAGATGAACTTACCCAGCGACGAAGAGCTTTGGAGGCTAACGGTCTGTACGAGTCGTTTAACTTGTACAGGGCGAGCGTGGTGCAGTACTTGACTCCAACTCATGGCCTGTTTCTTGCTACCTACGCTTTGTACGTGCTTGTGGCTGTCATCATCGGCTTCTCTGATCGTACCTTCAGGGAGAAACTAAAAGACATTTGTCGTTGTTCTCTTCAAGATATGAACGCCGTCTCTCAGACAGGCGTACTTGGCATTGGTGTACGGGCGATTCTTTACCCTTTTAAACGCTGTGGTATTATGGGATTTCTCCTGGCTCCAGTTTATTTAGTCGTTCTGGTCCCTGTTAGCATTTGTGTGTTTCTACTCTACTGTTTACCTACAGTCTACTTAAGCTTCAGAATTCCATACCACGCACGTAAACTGGCCAGAGAATCAGCTTTAGTAGCAGATAAAGAGAAGAACCAAATGTTAGTCAAGATGCAGATGTTAGGGAAGAAATTATCTCGAATTGATAAGTCTGTTCACAGCGACAAGCTCACCTCGACGGGAGAAAATGTGTGTTGTCCAGACGAATGGAGTTGTGCAGGATGTGCTAGCGTGAGGAGCGTTTTGCTTCAAGTACTCACCTCAATCTTCACACTGTGCATTCTTTACTCGATAGCCTTGGTCTTTTCGGAGTCCATCGGTTTATTTGTTGAGGTTAGTAAATATGGGTTGTCTATTTGTTGAGGTCAGTAAATATGGGTTGTTTATTTGTTGAGGTTAGTAAATGTGGGCTGTTTATTTGTTGAGGTCAGTAAATATGGGTTGTCTATTTGTTGAGGTTAGTAAATGTGGGCTGTTTATTTGTTGAGGTTAGTAAATATGGGTTGTCTATTTGTTGAGGTTAGTAAATGTGGGCTGTTTATTTGTTGAGGTCAGTAAATATAGGCTGTTTATTTGGCGAGGTGAGTAAATATGGGCTGTTTATTTGTTGAGATCAGTAAATATGGGTTGTCTATTTGTTGAGGTTAGTAAATGTGGGCTGTTTATTTGTTGAGGTGAGTAAATATGGGCTGTTTATTTGTTGAGGTCAGTAAAGTTTTTACAAGCTTTTATTTAACTCACTTCCTCGTCAGTCGTCAGTCTGTCTGACAGATACGGTTCGTAATTGGTACGTGGGTCAAGACATGAAGACAATCCATTATGACATTAAATTTGACTTAATTGAATGTCTAATTAATTTTTTTATGAATTAATTAAAATTTGGACCGAATTAGTAGGCAATTCTATCCACACGCGTCATCACGGCCGTGTTGGGCGTGGAGCGAAGGGGGCTCTACGTCAAAAGCGCGTCATCACGTTCAATAGACGCGCGATGGTTTTTTAGTCGGGTCAGCAGTCTAGTTCTTTACCACTAGACTACGCCATCCCATAATATTTTTTTGAAACTTTAGCTATAAACTTGACAATGGTTTTTAGTCATGTAACTATTGTCACAAGCCGATGATGAAAACTGTAATACTAAAGTGAACACACAACTGACGCTGTAAATTACATGTCTGAGGCCAAAAAAAAAAACAAAAAAAACATTTTCTCTAAAATTAGCATTACTGTTTAAATTTAAGCACTCCACACCTCAGCCGTCACTAAATAATTAAGTATTCAAATTCTCAAATGTTTTTGAAAACCTAAGCGAAGCTAGGCAGTATGCCTAGTTATTACATAAAAGCTTGTTATTAAAACGTTTTTTTATGAATTTTTTTGTTGATTTAACAATGTCAAATCTGATTGTATGTTATTTATGGATTTTTTGTTGATTTAACAATGTCAAATCTGATTGTATGTTATTTATGGATTTTTTTTTCGATATAAATCTTAGTCATGGCTTTTATTCTTTGTAGGTAATTTTTTTAATACAAATCCGATTGAAGGAAATGGCCTTTATTATACTGTTTGCAGGTGATGGCCTTTACTATGATGGGAATTATTATAAACGCTGGTAATGTCCTGAAGTACGTCTCGATGGTCTTGCTTGTTTTTGTCTACATGAATGATTGCTATAGCAACGTGTATGAGAACTACCTGACATTCAACAAAACTATCATAGATGACATCATTGAAAGGACGACCTCAGACCTCCGAAGAATAGCTAGCATGTCCTCTAGTGAACAAGAAAACACCGCCTTTCAGGTACGAGAGTTTGTAAGAATGTAAATCTTCAACTGTTCAATGAATACAGGCTACTTAAAGGCATTTATATTTCAGTCTAAAGCTTAATAATTATTTATAAATTTATTCTACAGTTTTAGTTGAAAATTTAAATGACTTGAACCTGTAGTGCAGAAGTTTAGGTTTCATATTTTCTTCAATTGAACCTTTCACAAATCTCATCACCAGGTAACTTGTCTAGATGAGACCAAAGAAAAAATACCAAAATTAGATTTTTCAAACAAAGAAATCCGGTGGAAAATTGGGCAGTTACTGTTATTTCTAGATTGCAATGACACACCCAGAATTCCGTTGCGACTTTTTCAAAGACTTTGTGAGGTAAAGAGTCTGCAAATCATTCATGAGTAGAAGGTTAAGAAGATGAACGGCTACAGACTTGTATGGTTGTATTTGTGAATTACAGAAAGATTGTTTTAAGACGGAAACGCGAAACTCATGAGAGAATGTTGCGATATTTTATTGACATGTCTAACGAATAGATTCAAGAATACATTTGCCTGACATAAGAGGTTCTCTATCAGAATGTAAATCATCACACACAATGACTTGTATAATAGAGTTATAATTATGACTGCAAAAATCAATCGATAAAGTTGGCTTAGATTGTATAAAACGTCGTTTTATTTTTTAATATGTTAGGTTCAAGTCTATGGTGCATCGGGTCCGGTGTATTGGGTCTAGTGTGTGTTTCAATTTAGCGTAAACAACGTTTTTATTGATGATATTTTGACCTGACTGACCCTCCCCATAACGCAGGTTCAAGTCTATGGTGCACCAGGTCCGGTGTATTGGGTCTAGTGTGTGTTTCAATTTAGCGTAAATAACGTTTGTATTGATGATATTTTGACCTGACTGACCCTCCCCATAACGCAGGTTCAAGTCTATGGTGCACCAGGTCCAGTGTATTTGAGTCTGCTGATGGCTACAGGAAAGTTTATGATTATCGTCGTGTTTTTGATGTTTGTCATGATCGTTGTCATGGCCTTTGGAAACGTGTATGCGGTAGGTTTGTCTACAATATTAGTATGGGTACACTGTTAATGTATGTACTTCGTTAATGTGTGTACTTCGTTAATTGGTGTACGCTGTTAATATGTACACTGTTTTAATTTGAGTATGTTATACGTTTGTGTACTATTTTAATTTGAGTGTGTTACACGTTTATGTACTATTTTAATTTGTTCCTTTGGGGTTATTTATAATATATGTTGTGCGACGCAATTGTTTAGGGGTCATCCATTTATGACGTCCACACGGGGGGTGGATGTTCTCAAAAAATCGGCTTTTATGGATGCTTGTGGACTGGGGGGGGGGGAGTTCGGGTCCATGTAGACCTCTACATGTTGAATTTACCATTGACGTGCTTACGATTTAAAACAAACATAAAACTCTTATCCTGCATGTAACACGTGAAATTAAAACAACAACATCGCAGCGTGTAAACAAAGTACTGGATTCCCTCCTACACCCAGGTCATCTCTAAAAATAAGTAACGTCAAGATATTTAATGATTGTTACCTCCCCTCCCTCCCGACTATCACTAATCTTCATTTTAAAAAACCAGGAACCCAACACATACAATTACGTCCCACCTCAAATATTTAATGAACATGGTCAGCGTTGAATAGGCCTAGATTGGTTTTAATTTAAAGTTTTTAAGAAACTTAAACGTGAAGCAACGGCTTTATCTTAGTTTCTAACATTATTGCAAAGGGTGTCGTCACACCTTCTGAAATCCCCCTCCAGTTCTCTGGAGTGTGACGTCATTTTTGGACGAACAAAAAAAAGGCACCTCTTTGGAAAGCGAGCGATTAAGTAAACAAAATAGGAGCCATCAGCTTATCTTTAAGACTTTTCTCCTGGGGGGGGGGCGACAAAAATTTCCGGGGGGTAGGGGGGTGGACATTTAAAATATATATTTTCTATATAAATTTCGTTTGGGGGGTGGGTTGTGCCCCCCCATACCCCCGCACCCCCCACCCCCACCTCACCCTCCCCAGAAGAGATGCCTGGAAGAAACTGGAAGCCATGAACCAGAGGAGGCCTTGCGATTAATTAATGTCATTAGTGCTAATATTAATCATTCAACGAGTACAAAAAATAATACGAGTGCAGAGAATCGTACTGTGTTATCAACCCATTCCAACGCACACACACAAAAGGTTAATAATTTGCATGCGCTTTTGGTTTGTAATGGAGAAAATCCTTAAACTCTAAAAAAAAAAAAAATATTTATATTTTGACGTTTAAAATAAAACCTACTAATGTTTCTCTCCACGGGCTAAATTCTACTTTTAATATTTAGTTGTAACAATTAACATTATCGAAAATAATAGAGCCGTATCAGTAACAAGAACACATTACATGTAACTAAATAGTAAATTAATAGTAGGTTTTCAGAGGTCTATTAATTTTTTTGTGGACGTCCCCAAGGGGGGGGAGGTGTGGTCAAGTCGAAAGTGGATGCGTGTGGACGGGGATGGGGAGGGAGGGGTCTAAAATCAAAATTTCTATCTCCGTCATGAATGGATGACCCTATGTCGGTTCATTTTTGTCCTATATTCAAATAAAGTATTTAATCACCAGATGTCCTCTACCAATACTACCCTGCTCCTATATTCAAATAAAGTATTTAATCACCAGATGTCCTCTACCAATACTACCCTGGCTATGTTATATTCAAATAAATTATTTAATCGCCAGATGTCCTCTACCAATACTACCCTGCTCCTATATTCAAATAAATTATTTAATCACCAGATGTCCTCTACCAATACTACCCTGCTCATATATTCAAATAAAGTATTTAATCACCAGATGTCCTCCACCAATACTACCCTGCTCCTATATTCAAATAAATTATTTAATCACCAGATGTCCTCTACCAATACTACCCTGGCTATGTTATATTCAAATAAAGTATTTAATCAACAGATGTCCCCCACCAATACTACCCTGCTCCTTTTTTTCAAATAAAGTATTTAATCACCAGATGTCCTCCACCAATACTACCCTGCTCCTATATTCAAATAAAGTATTTAATCACCAGATGTCCTCTACCAATACTACCCTGCTCCTTTATTCAAATAAATTATTTAATCACCAGATGTCAACCACCAATACTACCCTGGCTATGTTATATTCAAATAAAGTATTTAATCAACAGATGTCCTCCACCAATACTACCCTGCTCCTATATTCAAATAAAGTATTTAATCACCAGATGTCCCCCACCAATACTACCCTGCTCCTATATTCAAATAAAGTATTTAATCACCAGATGTCCTCTACCAATACTACCCTGGCTATGTTATATTCAAATAAAGTATTTAATCACCAGATGTCCTCTACCAATACTACCCTGGCTATGTTATATTCAAATAAAGTATTTAATCGCCAGATGTCCCCCACCAATACTACCCTGGTCCTATATTCGAATAAAGTATTTAATCGCCAGATGTCCTCTACCAATACTACCCTGCTCCTATATTCAAATAAAGTATTTAATCGCCAGATGTCCCCCACCAATACTACCCTGCTCCTATATTTAAATAAAGTATTTATTCACCAGATGTCCTCCACCAATACTACCCTGGCTATGTTATATTCAAATAAACTATTTATTCACCAGATGTCCTCCACCAATACTACCCTGCTCCTATATTCAAATAAAGTATTTAATCACCAGATGTCCTCCACCAATACTACCCTGGCTATGTTATATTCAAATAAACTATTTATTCACCAGATGTCCTCCACCAATACTACCCTGCTCCTATATTCAAATAAAGTATTTAATCGCCAGATGTCCCCCACCAATACTACCCTGCTCCTATATTTAAATAAAGTATTTATTCACCAGATGTCCTCCACCAATACTACCCTGGCTATGTTATATTCAAATAAACTATTTATTCACCAGATGTCCTCCACCAATACTACCCTGCTCCTATATTCAAATAAAGTATTTATTCACCAGATGTCCTCCACCAATACTACCCTGGCTATGTTATATTCAAATAAAGTATTTGTTCACCAGATGTCCTCCACCAATACTACCCTGCTCCTATATTCAAATAAAGTATTTATTCACCAGATGTCCTCCACCAATACTACCCTGCTCCTATATTCAAATAAAGTATTTATTCACCAGATGTCCTCCACCAATACTACCCTGCTCCTATATTCAAATAAAGTATTTAATCACCAGATGTCCTCCACCAATATTACCCTGCTCATATATTCAAATAAAGTATTTAATCACCAGATGTCCTCCACCAATACTACCCTGCTCCTATATTAAAATAAAGTATTTATTCACCAGATATCCTCCACCAATACTACCCTGCTCCTATATTCAAATAAAGTATTTAATCACCAGATGTCCTCCACCAATACTACCCTGCTCCTATATTCAAATAAAGTATTTAATCACCAGATGTCCTCCACCAATACTACCCTGCTCCTTTATTCAAATAAAGTATTTATTCACCAGATGTCCTCCACAAATACTACCCTGCTCCTATATTCAAATAAAGTATTTAATCACCAGATGTCCTCCACCAATACTACCCTGCTCCTTTATTCAAATAAAGTATTTAATCACCAGATGTCCTCCACCAATAGTACCCTGCTCCTTTATTCAAATAAAGTATTTAATCACAAGATGTCCTCCACCAATAATACCCTGGCTATGTTATATTCAAATAAAGTATTTAATCACCAGATGTCCTCCACCAATACTACCCTGCTCCTATATTCAAATAAAGTATTTAATCACCAGATGTCCTCCACCAATACTACCCTGCTCCTATATTCAAATAAAGTATTTAATCACCAGATGTCCTCCACCAATACTACCCTGCTCCTTTATTCAAATAAAGTATTTATTCACTAGATGTCCTCCACCAATACTACCCTGCTCCTTTATTCAAATAAAGTATTTAATCGCCAGATGTCAACCACCAATACTACCCTGGCTATGTTATATTCAAATAAAGTATTTAATCGCCAGATGTCCTCTACCAATACTACCCTGCTCCTATATTCAAATAAAGTATTTAATCGCCAGATGTCCCCCACCAATACTACCCTGCTCCTATATTCGAATAAAGTATTTAATCACCAGATGTCCTCCACCAATACTACCCTGGCTATGTTATATTCAAATAAACTATTTATTCACCAGATGTCCTCCACCAATACTACCCTGCTCCTATATTCAAATAAAGTATTTAATCACCAGATGTCCTCCACCAATACTACCCTGCTCCTATATTCGAATAAAGTATTTAATCACCAGATGTCCTCTACCAATACTACCCTGGCTATGTTATATTCAAATAAAGAATTTAATCGCCAGATGTCCCCCACCAATACTACCCTGCTCCTTTATTCAAATAAAGTATTTATTCACTAGATGTCCTCCACCAATACTACCCTGCTCCTTTATTCAAATAAAGTATTTAATCGCCAGATGTCAACCACCAATACTACCCTGGCTATGTTATATTCAAATAAAGTATTTAATCGCCAGATGTCCCCCACCAATACTACCCTGGTCCTATATTCGAATAAAGTATTTAATCACCAGATGTCCTCTACCAATACTACCCTGCTCCTATATTCAAATAAAGTATTTAATCGCCAGATGTCCTCCACCAAGACTACCCTGCTCCTATATTCAAATAAAGTATTTAATCACCAGATGTCCTCCACCAATACTACCCTGCTCCTTTATTCAAATAAAGTATTTATTCACCAGATGTCCTCCACAAATACTACCCTGCTCCTATATTCAAATAAAGTATTTAATCACCAGATGTCCTCCACCAATACTACCCTGCTCCTTTATTCAAATAAAGTATTTAATCACCAGATGTCCTCCACCAATAGTACCCTGCTCCTTTATTCAAATAAAGTATTTAATCACAAGATGTCCTCCACCAATAATACCCTGGCTATGTTATATTCAAATAAAGTATTTAATCACCAGATGTCCT